CCAATTTCTGTTGGGCATTGAAGTGGGCACTACAGAAAATGCAAAATTATCAGCCATTTTTTATTATCACTTGATGATTACTTTGCAGATTTCTGAATTAATTTTTGAATACTGTTATCAGTCACTTTGCTAAATAAAACTTGCTCATCTATCAAAATCTTTCACTCTCCTCTAAATTTATTCATGTTAATAAACAAATCGGTCATGGTGGATGTAAACTTACTACAAGTATTGCTGAAGTTTTAGACAAATTTGTTTCCGTTAAAAAGTGAATATAGTATTCTTTTAGTAGCCTTCAAATGATATATAATGCTAGTTGTATTAGTGACATTATGGGTTTTGAAAAATTTGTAATGCTTGCATGAATGAAGCGAAAATTTTTTCAATAGTAAAGTTTGCTACACCTATTTAACCATGTGCCACAAATTAGAATGCGCACTGTTATAGATGCGAAAGTGGCAATGAGCCACTTACAATTATTCATGAAGCCTTTTCTAACCATAAACAAACATTCACACACAAATATATATATATATATAGCTAATTAATTTTAATGTCAATCACTTGCATAAATTATGAAAATGCATCTAATGGTTTTGGAAGAAAATTGGATGAATGAACTTGAAGGGAATAATCACTTTTATTTGCCATCAGTGTATGGATCATTTGGGCTGAGCCGAATTGAATAGACACATAAAAACTCACTGACATTATTATTCGACAACTAATCGAGAAAAACATTTTGAAAGAATGTATATTTATAAGCTATGAAGTAAAATGAGTTAGAAAAATTGCTGTGCATAAATAACATGACAAACACTTCTTATGAAGTAGTCTTTCGAATTATTGCAGCAAATTTTTTTATTTCACAAACTTCACAAAGCAAAAATATTGCTCCGTAATATGGCACACTTGAATAAATTATTTTCAAAGGTTAAAGCAAGAAAGCAATCATTATTATTAATCTGGTTTGTTGTGCCATCATTGGAAACGCTTACGAACGGGAAAGAACAATGATTATTTTTCTACAATTTGATTGCCAACAACATAACAAAAGATATTAAACTCTAAACATATTTAAAAAACCTTATTTTTTAGCACAAACAACTTTTGGATCATAAACAATTCGAGATATTACCAAAAATCATTGAGAATGCAAATTATATTCAGAAAAGTTACTAGAAATGCCGACAAGTAGATTATTCAATTATCCTACTAGAAGAATGTGTTGGGAATATTTTAAGCTAAAAGGAGAGAAAAATGAAAAGCAATTTGTATGCAACAAAGAAAAAATTTTCTGAGGTTCATTAAAATTTGGATCAATTTGCATATTAAGAAAAGTACGTAGCATGTGATTCTTTATCAAAATGTTACTAAATGGGAAAAATTGATCAACAACGTTCAATAAGTAAAATTTATCTTCTTGCCTTGTTTTCAAATATTTTGCTCCGATATTCCTTTCAAACTGCCTACATCACTTCATCTATTTCTAACTTAATCTATGTCTACATCAATAGTTTAATCATTTTTCTCTTCAAAAGTATAACATTCAACTTAAATTTGCATAACTGTCAATAACATGCTGAAATAGTTAATTTAAAAATTTTTAATATCATTAACATGAGAACGATTGTGAAAGTAAGCGTTATTGGAATGAAACATCGCCTTTTTTAAGTATTTAAGCAGATTTTATCTGCTTTAAATCATTGGCAATTTTGACAAGCAGTGAAGGTTAAGGTTAACCTAAAAGTTGTTTATATTATGTCTAGGGGTCAGTCATAGCAATGCTCACTACACTATCACAAACAACAACTTCAGAGAGAAGTGTGTGAATAGAAGATATGGCTGACAATATTTACATAATAATATGGAAGCTTTTCTCCCTCTCATTTCGTCTCTTTTAGTTCCATATTGATGGATTGTTCGGTATTCATTCAATCTGCAATAACAAATAGCATTCAGTTGCTGAGTAAACTCTGTACGTGTCTTCCGCGAACAATAACGAGTTCCTCTTGCTAAAAAATTTTGAAAAATTGTCATTGCAGCGATGTGAAATAACAATGCTGTATATTCTATAAAAAAATTTTCAGTTTTATGAATTACACATGCATAAACACAAGTTACTTATTCATAATCGGCTTGTTGCATAATTGTAATATTGCTATTTATGATCTGAAACTTTTTATGAAGTTTTAAATGAGAAATAATGAATCTGTCAGTTTTGCCCATATAATTGAATTTGTGTCAAGTGTATCTGGCAAAAATTTTCACATGATCACTTCAATCAAAATTATTTTGTAATCTGGAGATTGCAAGAATATACCCCAAGGAATTTTTGATGGTAAACATTAATTTCACTGCTTATATCGAATGGGATTAGTAAATTCAAAGTTACTTGAGTACGAAATAAATTTAAAACACTGTTTGTATAATGTAATTTGAGATTATTAGTGCAAACATCCATTGATGTCTCGCCAAAGGCCAAATATTGCGTGCAAAATGTCAATTAAATAGTCGTTAAAAGGCGAAACGATAGTACTGCTTCAGTGGAACAATCTCTTGAAAATGATTTAATTGCTTCGCACGCAATATTTAAAAAAAAAAAACAGAAAAACTTTAGGAACTTTGAATAATAGTTGATAGAATGAAAGTTATTAAAATGTCCGTTTTAAAGGCGAAGCAAAATTAATATGCTTGAGGCAAGACTGATAATGGCACTGATAATACACAATAATTAATAAAATGCAGCAAACTTTTGATTATACCGATGATAATGGCGGTGACAATAACGATTACATTTTGCTAGAACGTATTATTATAGTTATTTTTATTACAAGTGTTAAAATAAGCAATCATCAAATAAAAAACAAAAAAGAAGAATTGCTAATAAGTATATTATTTGAGAACTTTGAATTCTGTTCCATTTAAGTTCTCATCAGTCACAGCAGACCTCATTTCCTACTCCAGCATATTTCTGAACCAGTAAATGCTTCTCCGAGGTTATTAAATTAGCTTAATAATTTTTGGCTGATGTTTGATTCTGATGGAAAAAATTTGTAAAGTTTTTTATTTAAGAGACGAGAAATTGTGTTATAGTAGTAAAATTGTAGAAATGATGAAAAATATAGCAACCAGTAAATGAATCTAAAATTATAAGAAAAAATTTCTAAGAGAAGAAAGGATGACAACTGTCTTTATGAAAAATATATGCAACCACACAAAACAAATTATCTGCTTCGTGCTCGTAATCATCATTTTGTTAATTGAAGATGCCACTGACCAAATATTACTCCCTAAGAAATTATAGTCAAAATATCCATTCTCCACTGATTTCAGTCCGGAGTAATATGAAAGTTTGACTAATTTGTGCTATCATATAAGCAATCTACCAATGAACTGCTCTCATAATCAACCCACTAAAAAGCACTCAATACATGATTATTATTAATTGCAATTGCTGCATAAAATTAACTACTCTTCATCACAAATTACTTAAATTTTGTTATCGGAATAGTACAACAATAAATAATAATAATAATTAGAAAGATAATAGAACGGTTTTTTGTTTAAGTTTATTTAAGTAAAACGTTCATTGTCTTGTGTACAGCTTAAATACGTTTTTGAACGAAAGGCATAAACTATTAAAAAAGATTCAGTGATATATAAAAACAGAATTTGGAAAAACTCTGCTGCTTTTTCTTAGTAATAGCAGTTTGAAGCTAAAATAAAAATATTGGTCTAAGTTTTAAATTATATCGAAGTTGGATTGACTCGTTAGTGTTTAAAGACGTTACAAATGTTTATGTTTTTACAAGCATAAAGAAATACTTCTACTTTATTTCGCGCAAATAAAATTAGTTAGTAATTTGAATAGAAAAAAACTACCTTTAACTACATCAAGTTCTTTTTCCCTCGACTTATTTTGCATTTTATATTGCTCGTTAACAGCATCTTTAACAAAATCAACTCTCTGAAGCAATTGCCTAATTAAGTTATGCAGATTATTAAAAAAATTGAGTTAAAAAAATGAAAACTTTGAAGTAACAATACAAGAAAATTTTTGAACATTTTGAAGCAGAAAAAAAGTCATTGAACTTTTTTTTTTAATTAATAAGAATCAACAGGAAGCATTTCTTTATAATAATGGCAATTAGAAGCTGAAATACAAATTACTTAAATAATGCTCCCTCAAATAATGCAACAAATAATGTTAAATAAAAACGTTTCTGCTTAATGCACTGTATAAAAAACAGAAGTGGATAAAAATACACTTATTTTTATCATTTTAGACATAGAAAATCAGTCGAGAAGTTATTTGAGATAATACTGCAAGACTAACAAAGTAAATTCATACACAAAAAATGTCTGGTTTGAAATTCTTAACATGACTTTTGCTAAAACTTCCGTACTCAATGTCATAAACAATCTCATAAAATGTGGCAATAAATTAAAATTGTTTCATAGCGTACTAGTAATTGCATAAAAATTCATTTCGAAACAATATTGAAATGATGTTAGCTAGCAATGGTCAAGCAGCAAATGAAAAATAAACTCATTTTAGAACTGCTTGAATAAGAGAGTTTTTTAGAAGTCTCAGAAATCGTAAATTTTAGCAATAAAATTTAACAAAAAAATAATGCTAGCAAGCAGATTACATAATGTTAAGAACGTATATAATATTAAATTTTACTGCAACCCTAATCTATTTTTCGTAATATTTTTCCTATGTTTCGCAAATCGCAAAGTATCTAAAACTGCTTGACCTTTTAAAACATATTGATCGCATCATACCTTTAAGCTTAGTTTATAAATTTAATTTAGTAAGTCTATGAATTAATAGCTTATAATTTTGATTACTGATCTTAAAAAGTCACAAATTTAGATAAGTGGCAGGATGTTTAGGATCACTCACATCAACATGTAAATACTAATAATATACGCTATCATGGTTTCGAGATTTTGTCTTATTCCTGATTGGCAACATTAGAATTAGTCTCACGTATCAGAAGACAAAGCAGCTTTTTCTCAGTAACTTGCATTTTTCTATTCTGTCACATACAACTGATTGGAAAAACTGAAATTAAAATATAACTAATATTATCTAGTATGCAAATGTTACGAATAAAAAAAAACGAATTCTTTTCCTATCTTTGGTTTTTTTTTCGTCGTAGCAAATGATGATATTTATTTTGCAAACTTCACTGGTAAATCGCAACCATCATTAACAATATTATTACAAGCATCTCACAGTACGAACGTGATGTAGATGGATTTTTAATTTTATTTTGAAGTTGTATATATCGTATTTTTCGGGTAGAATTGATGAAAAAGTATTTTATGCTGCATTTCAATGTTGCGTCTAACATATTATAATGAAAAGAAATTCAAAGAAAAGAATTGCTCTTTTTTACACTGAATATTTAGTTCGAAAATCAAAATTCTTAATGTCAAACAACAACAAAATTCATATTTAATGATTCTCAACATTTTGTAAAGAAGAAACAGTTTTTATATTTGCATGAAGTTTCAAAAGAATGATTGAACAAGTTACGAGACAAAAAATCTTCAACAGAATTACGCCGGTCATTCATCATAAGGTCATAATCATTTCCAAGCACAAATAGAGAACTGAAACTACTTTCTTCGCTATATTTTGGTTTCAAAAAAAAAAATTCGGGACTGAATAAAATAGACAAGAACTGATCACTTTTTAATGGATTTCATCTCAGATAATGTTTTGAAAGAGCCAAAACTTCAGGATTGTAAAATCAAATCCACTAGATCCAAGTCATATGTTCACTTTACCTTCACATCCAAATTAATCTGAGAATGTGGAGATTTGTGATAAGATCCTCCAAAGCCTAAAATTGGTGTGCCCCATCATAGTTAATATGATTGAATTACTGAACTCATCAGAACTTAAACGCTCCCAAAGTCAAAACTTACGTTACACAAGGAAAAAGTAAGGACCTCAACTTCACAGTTTCTTTCTTAAACTAGTCAGTGAAAAGATTTAATCGACATTCTACCTCGTTTCTTCTTTAATGACTATTGCCTGCATGGAGTATCGCTTATTTTTAGTGCTTGACTTGAAATCTGAACCAAATTTACAAGAACCATTTTATGCATTCTACACTACTAAAACAAACATGACAGCAACTTGGAATTTGAAATTAACCCGAAGTAGAAAAATCTGGAAACAAAAATAAGTCCTTCATATTAAGAGAATAGATCAAGCTGAGCCTGCCAAAATGAGATTTTAGAAATCACAATGTTACACTAAAAAAAATGGCCATATAATACAGACTTGCAGACCAAATACAATTTCTCAAGAAAAAAGCAAAACAAAAGGCTAGAAAACGAAATATAACTTTCAAATCTAAGGCTTCTTCGACTCTTTCCATTTTATGCCGAAAAGATATGAAAAAAACAAACTTCAATCAACGTAATAAAACAATACATCCAGATTCATATTAGCAACCTTACTGATAAGCAAAATAAGAGAGTCACACAATTCAATTCTTTTCCAATAATCCAAAAATTTATTCATCGGTGAAGATAAACAAGACAATTGTGTAAATTAACAAGAATTGAAGCAGAAACAGAAATGATTACCACTGCAGACAAAGTTACCAGTGCTTATGAAACCTAATTTCGTAATCAGTACTGGTAATGGTAATTATTAACATTAAAAAGTAATCGAAAATAATCAAATACACCTAATAATTTAATAGCAAATTCAAATAAATGAGATCGACTGAAACTTAAAAAGTATTCGGCAGACAACAAAAAATCAAAACCAACATTATAATAATCACAGCAAAAATAAAATTAATAAAAAACTGTTTTTAAGTTAGCATATACAAAAAATATGAGTAATCCTACCCATCTTCAACTGTCTTCCAATTTCAGCGTTAAAAAATTAACTGTTTAAACTAAAAATAAGTTATAAACATCTTAACTAAGTGAAACATCAGAAGACGAAGAAGAATAATCAAGTAAACGCTGTTGCTGAGCAAAAATATTAGATGAGATAAATGTACTGCCTAACGGTTTTGGTCTTATACCTTCGACTGACGATGAATCAATGGAAGAAAGAACTCGACTGTTCCTTGGTGCTTGTAGTTGGTGAGATTCGAAATCGCTGCACTCCATTCCAGGATTAATACAGACTGGACGAGTCGTTTTAACCTAAGAATAATGACGCTGAATAATTTCTCAACTAAAATTTCTGAACCTATTTGGCTACGATAGAAGTATTTAATGCACTCTAAACAAATTTAATGATATCACGCAAAAGATAATATAATGAGAAAATAAAAGTAGAACAATGGAAATGACAACTTAATTATAAAGAAGAGTTTATAATCACATACTATGATTAATATTGCTTTAAGTAAATGACCTGTACAGCGATGATTTTATGGCTTAAATTTGTGAGTATATATTGCCGATGTTTTTACAGTGTTATATAGAGAACGTGTTCAGTATGCACTAATGAACACAGTTGACAATCTATTAATTGCACAGAAACCAACGACAACCTGGGAATAAGATGGTGGAGGACTATAAATTCTAGTCCCATTAACAAATTCACGATAACGCTGCCTTCGTCGATTTCTACTGGAGCTTACAGCAGCACCACTGCAATGTTGCAAATTAACTCGCATTCCCGCCGGTTTAACAACTCCATAAGTTGATAAGCTGGAAAGACTGATATCTGACTAAATGTAAATTTCATTAAAGATAAATTAAAACAACATATTATCTAGTGGACTTTTAAAATTTTAATTGTGAATCTCAAATACTTCAGCTAATATTTTAAACGATGAAGAATACCTTGCTGCAGACGGAGGAGGAGCGAAAAACCGCTTAAAACTTGATTTATTTACGGCAGTGCTTATTGCAGTGTACACTGAATTTCTTTGTGATGAACTGTCATTCACTGACTGATGATATGAAACTGCACCGGAAGAGAATTGTGGATTCGGTGGAGGTAATGCATTGTACAATGATGAAGAAGCTCCAACAGAATAAGTACGAAATTGGAACTGAAAAAATTTTACAAACTGTATTTTAGTAAGCTTAATTAGCAAAAACAGCAAAGTGAATTTATCCAAGACATACTTCAAGTTGGGTGCCAGTTGGATGTGCTGGGAGTAATACTCGTGCTTCCGTATTTATTGGTAACGAATGTGTGGTCGTCGTATGAGTCAAATTGTGTCCTAACGGTCGTCGCATAGCGAAATGACAACAACACGCACTTACAATTATGCTTAATGCGAGGAAAAATATTGCCAACGGTATTATTAATTCAAATGAAGGAGATAGCACTGGAGCGACTGTGACTATTTTATGAATATCAGCACAGAGCTATAACTAATAAGAACATCAACGAAAATCATGAAAAAATGCTTAACTGAAATAATTTATAAGAGACATAAAAAGTTATTACTCAACTGGTCCCAATGACTTTAATTAAAACGAATAAAATTGTAACCTGCTTCTCTTCATCTTGACCTGCGTAACAATTATTTATACCATCACATATTAACTCACGACTAATGCACTCAGCCGCATGTGAAGCACTATCTGGTCCAATGGTACAATCAAAATGAGAAAGAGGATTAGAACATCGGCAGTGAGCTTCATCCGATCCATCAGAACAATCTTCGATACCTGAATGTCTCGACGGTAATGAGAAGATTATATAATAATATATAAACATTCTGATGATAAACCTTTCAAATGAAAGCGAAATAAAAAAAAAATAACCGTTACAAAAGGAAGGTCGAGCAACAGAAGCTTTTCCGTTATCACATGGCCAATTATTAATAGCAACATTGCGGCACAATTGTGAAGACTCATCACTACCATCAGAACAATCTTTACGGCCATCGCATTTTGCCATAGCATGTATACATTCTCGCCCATTTTCACATTTGAATTGCCAGTGAAAACATAAGACATGTTCAAAACAAGATGTTCCACTGAAATTATGGCTTTAGTTTTAAATATAAAAAAATATATCCCATTTGACTGATAAAGCATACTGACCCAAGAATTTGTAATCCAAATCCAAGTGGACACAAACACTCATGTCGTTTCCTAGAATTATGCATAACCCGACATAGATGTGAGCAATGTGACATTGCACATGTTTGATTCAAATCGTAGAAATCTCTTTCATAACTGCCAGCTACAGTTATTGCAAGAATACGTTTAAGTGAGAAGGAAGCAGATCGTTTCAGATCACCTAGAGAAACAGTAGGAACATCGTTCATCAATTCCAGTAACAGATCATCATATCTGGAATGTTTATAAACAAGAAAATAACATATTAAGCGCTCAAAACATGAAGAATATTATGAAGTTTGACTAACTGAGATTCATTTTTTGCAATTATTATCATCTTCTTCTCACTGATTGGAACCATATCAATATCTGAAGTTCGCACTTTAATATGATGGCGTATATCAGAAAATACATCTGCATCCCGTGACCACAGACCTATAAAACCGTTCAGTCAAATTATCCAAGGTTCAGTTTTCATTCACTACTGATTGCAAACCATCTAAAAACTTTTCTAAAGAATACAAACAGACAAAACTTTTCTAAAGCTAGGTAAGTGATTTCCGAGCAAGCTCAGCTGTGTTATTTGTCCAATATTTCGCAGCACTCGTAGTATATTGAACATACATTTCACGACTGACCGTTAGCTGTGATGTAATATAAACGATCACTGCTTTGATGAGCATGAAGCTTCACTGTATGCGTCAAATTAGGAGCTTCCCACTGCATACATTGACGACCATCTAGTGAACAACGAACAATGACTGGAGCTAGGCCACCATCGTCAACGTAAAAAAGGAAGCTTAAATTAAAAAAAAGTAAACTAGGTTTTGAAAGCAAATTATCCCAACAAATTCATTTCACAGTATAGTGGAAAACAGTAATAAACGTACTTCAACTTGGGAAAAAGGGCAATTTGTCGAGGATAAGGAGGTCGATCAGTCACAGGAGAACGTTCCCGCCCTGATACTACAACGCCAATATATTCCAAATGATCATTACTCTAAATAAAAATACTACTTTTTATTACATAAAATCTTTTAAATAATATAAAACAAATGAAAACCTTTATACGCCAAACATGAATAGATGATGCATGACTTAAACCATGCTCTGCACATGAAACAAATAATTGGCGACCAAACTCATCAACTGCTAAATGAAAGAGCAAGGCACAGTTGGAACGTTTTGATAATGTGATAGTCTGTGTCTAAAAAATAAAATAAATAACAAATAAATAAGCACTTAACGAAGAAGCTGCATTTCTACTATTTTTTATAAGCATTTTTTGGTCTCAAAAAAAAAAAATATATAAATCTATACCGCAGAATTTGATAAATCTGAGGACCGCTTAATAATTTTGTCGTCATTAGAATCAATCCAGTATATAGAGCGACTAGCGGAAAACAAATCGATGCCTACAGATACGGGCGTACCAACGTTCGGCACTGACAAAACTGAATAAGGATCCTAAAAAAACAACTGATGAAAATCTGAAAAAAGATATCAGAGACACAAAAGATGCTCTCTCATCAAGTTGGAGTAAACAAAAACGTATCTCTTTCCAAAATATGTTACCAGAAGTCGCCTGTTTCAAATTAAAACGCATAAAACGACCTCGAATAGCGACCAGAAGAAAATGTTTTGGTGCTGAAATGATTAAAAATTTCTGAGCAACTTTTGGAAGTATTGAGTTCTGTTCATCAATAATTTTTAACTCTAATAAATAAAAAACTTTACAAGTTTCTGAACCAATAACAACTAACGTAAACATTTTCTTCCTGTATGATCAAGTGTGAAATGGTCTTCACAGAAACATCTAATACTGTTGTTATAAAAAGTTTCACCTATCGCCACACATATATCACTACATCCACCATTGTTTTGTAGACAACGGTTCCCACCTAAAACTTCTTCGAAAAAAAAGCAATTACTTAATTTTAAAACTTTTTAAAAATGAAGATATGGACTATCTGCAATCATTAAAAATTTTAGAGCAACTTTTGGAAATAATGACTTCAATCCCTCAAATTTTTGATATACACATGCAGCTAATTCCTCACAAAAATTACTGATATTATGGTTAAGCCGACAGATTTTACAACGTCAGTCTTTCATCAATTGCCAACTCATTCGGTAATGTCAAACTATTTCAGAAATGTCTAATTTTAAATTTTCAATGCCCAAGTAAATTCATTCACCTTTTGTCCACTGTTTATAGGCAACAGCAAGGTCTGTGACATGGTTTATCCCACTATGTAAAACTTTCAAAGCACGACTATTGTAGAGATCAATTGTATTGGTTTTGGTATTGGCAATGTAAATCTGACGGTTGTACACAGCCAATGCTGCAGGTAATAACCTCTCATTATGTATTAAACGAGCGCGATTTTGACCTACAAATAATTATATCTAATGAAGCAACCACCAAAAATCATGGTTCTAATTTTCTGACTTGCGAAAGCAGAAATAAAAAATTAATATCAACTTTGGTAAATAGTCTAGATTTTGCAACCCTTCACTATAATTTACTGAAGTTATAGAAAACTGACTAACCATTAAAGTCAGAAATAGAGAGTCCTCCTCCTCGTTCATCTAACTCTGACCATACTAACAATTCCGAATCAAAATCAATCGCAAGTGCACTAACTGTACCTAATTGTTTAATTATCTCTTTACCACCTGATCGCTCTCCGTATAGAGGTATTTTCTAAAATATAAGATCCCAAGATAAGAGAATTAAAATATGGCTTCGACCAATCCAACTTTAAAAAGAAAAAACGAAAAATTATAAAAGGAAGAGTTAAAATTTCATGAGACAGGTAAATAACAAAGTATTGAAAAAACTGAAAACAAAATTTGAAGATAAAATCTTTACAATCTGAGATAAAGTACAAAAGTTCATTTTAGACATTATCAACTCATAGAACACCTTTTAGCTGCATACAGTAGTAGCTCAAAGCTTTTAAAATGGTGTGATGATTCATGACGTCCATCTTGTAATTTAATGACTAAACTAACATATGAAACCTCTTTCTATAAGAATTTTTAAACTAATTTCTAAAAATATGCCAGAAAACATTTCATAGTAATTTTTTACAAAACTTTAAGAAAACGAATCCCATAAATAATGAAATACATCAACTCAAATTAGTAATAAAATGAAAAAAAATCTACGTTTATAGTAAATTTATGTGCACTATTGTAATTTGCAAAAATTAGAAATCGTTGAATAGGATGCACGACCAAATATCGGGGATGTATACTTTCCCAAGCAATAGTACGGTGGCTTCTTCCGTCACCACGAACCATTTCAATTCGATGTAATTCCATATTGCACCTGAACGATGCAGAAAGATCTAGTTGAACCTAATTATTGACAATTACTAGTTTCTTTTCAAATTCTATTTTCTACCCTGTATACCGAGAAAACTTCTATCTAAGTTTAACAATTGCTACAGTAATTTTTCGTAAAGCTAATGTTCCCTTCTAAAAAAATTTGATTTTCACTTTTCACTTTAACATCAAGTACTGAAACTAGACGAAATAGTGCTCACGGACCAATATATATTCGAAGTGATCCAATCCACCGCAATGTAATTTGCAGCGTTACTTTCATAAATCATTTTTAATCCTGAACCATTAAAAAATGCACTACGAAGAGGTGACCGAATCGAACGACCTCGTCCTTCAGAAGACCAAAAAATACGATGAGAATTCTGAGAGAGAAGTACACATTACTACAGTGAATAAATGTGAGAATGCAATGACAATAAGTCATGGATGCAAAAAACAATAATAGTAAGGTTAAAAACCACTGGTAACAAAGCAACAAAATGTAGTGGAATGAAATATGACCTGTTTTCGTTAAATCCTAAGCATTTAAGTTAAATCAGTACTGCAGGAAAATTTAGCGAAAACAATTTGGAGTAATTTACCTGGTCAATATCTATACTAACTGGAGCTGTTGTCATATCATCAATATTGACACGATGATTATTAGCTGATTTCGTTTCCAAAGAAATTCTCATAATGCTATTAGCAGAGTTTGCCGAGGGGCTCTGTACATAAACAAGAAAAGCGGCGGGCATAATGCATGTCACATTGTCGGCTTGCAACTCATAGTCAACCGGACAAACACATATTTTGTCCCCATTTGGTCTAGATGAATTTTGAGTTATCGAAATTTTTTGAAATTTTCTCAAAATGAGACCAGCTCATCAAATTGCTTTACTTTATTTGCTTATAAATATCTTCAGAAAAATTCCACATAAAAATTATAATCGGTAGCAACAGAATGATTTAAGAAACCTACTGCTTCACGCACATATGTGAACATCCCCCATTATTTTTTTGACATGGAGATGAGCCTTCTGGGATTTGATTCAGATTCACCGCACGAATGCCCATTTGACCGAATATGACAGAATCAGAGATCACTGACAACTGTACGTCAGATAAAGATTCATTATCATTAGGAACAGGAAACACAGAGATCTTACGACCAAATAAAGAATTGCAGTATAGTGAGTTGCCTGCAAAAATAAACTTGAGAAATATCAATTATAAAGCTTGATGTTCGATTTGAAACATTAATGAGATTCCAATTTTTCGAACTTGATTTTGTCATGTAGTAGCGAGAGCGCTTAAAAACACAAATTCATTTCGTCCAAATGCATTAATTACAATTAACTACATTATAGTAATCCAGTTTCATTTCTCACCAAAAGATAAAAAACAATATTTCTGCAACACCAGATTTCTCACACAACAACAGATTTAGATTTTTAGTTTTTTAATAAAGGAGAAAATGCATACGAAACAAGTACCTAATATAGTCAGTGAATAAGGATGATTAACGCCTTCCGAGAACACTTGAACATTTAAATTCTTCCCTAGACTTGCCGATTTAATTAGTGATCGCCCTCCTTCTGCCCAATACAGCCGTTTTTGCTTAATGTCAACAGCAATTCCATTAGGCCAGGCATCCTTTTCTAAGGAAACCTGAATATTTATAGACCATAAACTTTATCTAATAATCTTTTAGATCCAAAACAATTCTAACTCAATTTGACTAAACAGAAATCTTCCAACGGTCAAATTCTTCCTGAATTATAATCAAGAAACATTTGAAAGTCCACTGCGGGCAATATAATTATAGAAAGTCGATGCAAATGGTTTTCAATCAAGTAAACTCCGTAAAAACTCCTCTAACTGAATATCTTAAATTTTGCTCTACAACTTAAGAACATACAACCACTTGTCGATGAGAACCATCAAGCCATGCTTTCTCAATGCGATTAATACTTTTATGCCAATCCGAAAAAAACATGTAACCATCATCAGGATCCAAAGCTAAACCACGAGGTTGCTTCAACTCATTTGCTACTACTATTTGCCGTCCTTTTTTAGATAAACTTTGCATCTAAACGCAATGCTTTCAGCGGTTTTAAATGAATATCTAATAACTAGTAGAAAAGATGAATAAAAATTACAGAGTAAGTGAAATTATTAATTATAATTGTACGATATCACTAAGAGCGAAAAGACATTGAAGAAAAACAAGAAATTTGAAATCGTGTAAATATGAAAATTAAAAGGACAAAAAGATCATTGTGAAATGTCTAGAGAATGTACAGTCTAGAATCAAATATTTATCTCTGACAATGTAATTGAGATATTAAAAACCTTGATTTGTGCAACGTTACTATCCAACCAATACAGATTGCGATTCAACCAATCAACAGCAAGCGCTTCAGACACCAACTTGACGGATTCCTCGACAAAAATCTGTAGTCAACACACCACTAAATAGAGAAAAACAACAAAGTGATTACAAAAAAAGAATATATTTAAGAAAAAGCACAACAACAGCCTACAGAGAAATAAAGTACCTCCATTTCTGTTCCATCTGGATTACACCTACGAATTACACCCATATCTCCATCTATCATGAACAATTTTTTTTCCACAGGATCATAATCAATATGTACAACTTTGGTATCACGTATTTCAGAAGCAACAGTTGAAAGACTGAGAGGAGCATGATGCATCGTATCCAATGATATAAAAATCAGCCCTGATGTTGTCGCTACATACAACAAACGTTCTATCCCTAAATCTATTACTCAGAAGAACTTGACAACAGCAAATTAACAAACCTCCCGCCAAAAGCAAGTTTTACTTCTATACTAGAAAAAATAATGCATCACATCTTTCAGTACTTTGGTGATGTTCAAAAAAGTATTCAAAAATTATCCTGATGTCACTTACCAGTAGGTGAACAGGTTAATTGATCATTGAGAAGTCGAACTCCCACAGGACACAGACAGGAACGCCACGGTGCACCAGGAATTAATACGCAAACATGTGAGCAGCCACCATTTTTTAATCTACATGGATTAGATGACTGTCCTGAAATAAAACCAAAAACATCAAATACTTTAAAACCAAGATAATGGAACGAAGTAGTTTTAGGATATATCAACCACTTCAGACTATTTACATAAATTCTGCAATCTATCAAAAGAATCAAAATTTACTCATCAACCGATTACGATAGCATAATAACAAAAAATGAACACCATGACTCACTTAATGGTTGAGTTTGCTGATGAGATATAAGGAGAGTCTCGACACCATATGAATCAGCCACTTCACGAGTAGTGTGATCACAGTTGAGCTTATCGCAAACTGTTATCCCAGAGTTTTGATTCGTAACCGATGTCCATATCAAATAATCCTTTAATTATCGCAAAGAAAACATATGAATAATTCAAATTTAATTTAACTCAAGTAAATTCAAATCGTGATTAAAAAGCCCTCAAGTTCTTAATCCTTTGCTGAAACTCTCAAGGAAGAAGGAAGACTTACATTGAAAACATCGAGATAAAAAGCATTGACTTTATTGGCAACAGGTCGACACGACTCACGACCATACAGTGAACAACTCCAAATTTGAGAGTCATCAGGTGATGCCCAAGTACGAACATAATAGAGCGTTCGACTAGCCTAAAGAACACAATAAAACGAGCTGCAAGAATAAACTAAGCTATTTATTTTGAGTGATTGTCACGGATGAACAACTGACTTGACGACTTTTAATTTTACATAATCAAGCTAATAACATCATTGGTACCGTCAGCGAAAATGTATCATATCATGTCGTCAACATATAAAAAGTTAATTGGAATCGGATATTTTTTTTAGTCGGTGAAGGCAAAATATAAGGTTATTCAGAAAGTAATAAATATAAAGTAAAAAGCGATGCACAACCAAAAGCTCAAAATAAACCTGTTCAAGAGTAAGAGCGGATGTAGTAATAACATCGGTAGTATCATCTTTGAAACAGTATGGATCATGATGCCTACCATCCATCCATGCTCTTTCAATACGTTTATGTAGACGATTCAGCCAATACATATAGCTGTCACAATAAAATTATGAGAATAAAAAAAAATAATTCAATATTCAAACGTGGATAATAGTGAACTCTACCAAATTTGCGGTTAAGAAACGAAATTTTCAGAACTAGCATAATAAAACAATTGATTTAAATGGGACTGCCATTTGAATCAAAGATTTATTATAAAAAATTGCAGAAGTACAACATAAGAACGAATTAATTAATCAGATAAAATTTACCCATCAACTGGATCAAGGACAAGAGAATGCAAAGCATCAACTCGGGAGTTTTGATTTTCGAAACTAGAAGAATCTAATGCAATAGCACAACTAGATTGACCATTCAAAGGACATACTTCAATGCGTCCAGCATTATGGACGCCTGTTTCAACACCAACGTACCTTAAATATATGTCTACTTTAAGCTTAGCCGAATCCTAATCTTTTTACACCGTATTCACTTTTAACCTTTTTTTTCTTTTATACCTAAATACATATATATTACTGTTGTATTTGTCCTCTGGATAAAAAGATACTATACATGTTCCTAGACGCTCTATCTAATCAGAAGAAACTATATGAATGACAAACGCCTATGAAATATATGTTAATTCAGATCTATAATATTCATAATGAACTTGAAGTGAACAAACATCTAATATTAAAACCTCTGATTTTCACCAAATATAATTAAAATATTGATAGCATGCTTTAATATACATACAAATTGCCCGTTATCCAGTCAACTGCTAATGAAGTGATCGTTTCCTCAACTACGCCACTACTTCGATGTATATAAGATGGAGCCGAACTATTATCACCCAAAGTAATTACACGAATATTACCACTAGATGATCGTAACCAGCTTTCTACATAAGCCAGTATGTCCTACAAATCAAGTACCGCTTTATTCTAATAAAAATGATTCACGTAGAAATGCTCATTGAACTACTGCAAGACGAAATTAAATCACCAACTGCTTATCATTACTTCAGATCAAATTATGCTATTAGCAAGAAAAAGTTAGAATAAATAATCTTTGGAATTGCTTCTAAAGTACTAGAAAGTTAAACGTCGCTACAATTTAGAAACAATATATTATATATATCTATCCAACATATGACTTTGCGATACCAGAACTGTCTAAAACGTAAAATGACAACACAAAATTTATTCTTTACTCGCTCAAAACTTTGTTCTTAAAATTCAAAATTGCTAACTCTTCCAATATCCAAGGCGATAAGAACAGGGAATGATTTATCAATCCCAGAAACGATTTCAGTTGTGGAAGTGATCGCAGCTTTTTCAACGTCTAACACTAGTTGTGAAATCGCTTTTTGTTGTCGAGCTATTATAGGAATTTTTATAGATACCACTGCAAAAACAAACATCAAATTGATAAACGTATGCCTCATAATAATTTACAGTGGCAACATCATACACATAACAACATCTCGACCACACACTAAACTCCACAAACTTCCACACGATATAATCTTGTGAAAGACGAAATCTGGTGATACTTTGTGCTCTTTCTATTGGGTATGGTTGAGAGAGCATAAACTGCGAGCAACTTCATATATATAAGTCTCTGTTATTCAGTGAATAAGCTTTTAATCTAATTAAACTTTTTTTTTTGCCAAATAAAATGCTTGAGATAAACTAGCTATTAATATATTACAACTTTATTAGTACCACGATTGCTTAATTGAACAAAATTAAATTATCTGAACACCATTACCTCGTGGAACGAGAGCGTAATAAACAACAAAAGTCAAGAAATGCATGTTCATATCATTTCAAATTTCACCGTATCGACCGTTTCAGCCACAAACTAAAAGTGAATCAATTCGAACAAACAACCATCTGCAATACTTTCAAAACACACTTCTTGAATTAATGCATGTAACCCGATATGTTATGATATGCACTGTTACTCGACTACTCCCACATGACCTGATCTGCCGAACTCATAAGAGAAGTGCGATGCTGAAGCCCACCTAAATAACCAACTTTCCAAAAGAACCACTATTATAGAAAAATAATGATCTTTTTGCTGCTCAACGTCTTCCACTTTACGGTGGCACAGATACAAACTGACAATGACGGTGATATGTTTGTGTGCGTACGCGTAGTAAATGCAACGATCTGATGCGCTTCATCATAAGTACTTGGGAAATTGTGGAACGCAAACAACTATATAGAGTGAGCGGTTAATTTGCAGAATCTATAAAATTAAACAGCAGAGAGCATAGACTTCCTACTGTTGCTTTCCATTATCCATTCAAAGAATCTCAAAAGTCTCGTCTACGGTAATTGAGAATGTATGTAACTGCAGAATACGCAGAATTTATTATTCATAAAAAAGTTTCCTTAAATATGTTTGTAATGGTGCCACAACGAAGATCAGTCCTCAGTAGTGACATATATTTCTGTTTAAGAATGCTTGATCAACGAACGAGAGCATTACATAGCACTGGAAGTCACACACAGAACTGTGCATGCAAGTAGTTTTAAGTTTAACGCATCCGCTATGAATGTTATACATTAGAGAAAGATGAATACATTTGGTCCGTAAAAACAATCTGAAAATAACAATAGTAACAGCACTACATCATCAATACCTTTCAGAACGAAGTTAGAAAAAGCATTTATATAGACGACATATATATATGAACAATGATGTAGGTAGGTGAAAAAATCATGTGATCCATTACTTGCAGTGCTTCTAAGATACTTGTGAAGACTCAATTCGTGATACTACTCAAAATAATTATTAACTAATATTTATCAGATTCCTTTCATTTTCATTTAGCACATTATGCGTTCTAAGCTTTCATCAAGTAGCCTCTTTTAGAGGTAGGGTTACCAGGTTGAATCTGAAAACAAATTCTGGAAATTTAGTTTTATTGTTTTCTAAGATTTACATGTGTAACTTCTTTATCATTTCAGAGAGAAAACGCAAAAATCTGAGCAAACAATGCCCACAAAACGTTACAATGGATTGGGTAATAGCGGTTAACTAAGCATAAGTTACTATTACTGCCCATATATGAATGAAAATCCCACGGCCATTGATGTCGCAAACAAATAAAATGAAGATACGTCCTGAAAAATTGGAGAAAGTAGCTAATAACTTCCTGATTTCGAAGATTCTGCAATGGGAAATATATCAAATGCAACACAGAAATCCTAAAGAAAAAGACTTTCGAACCCTGAATATTACTGCTTCTTTTGTTGCAAACACTTCTTGAAAAAGTGCAAATTATGAAATGATAAAGAATTTGATAATAAGACGTGGTATCATATATTTCCAGACTAAAATCTGATTTCACTACATCTAACAAGTACAAAGATTTTTGTTGCACAGAAAAATTTTTATTCTGACTCTCAGACTTTTTCAACAATTCTATGTTATGCAACATTCTTATCAGTTGTAGAGTAAAGATCTGAAAATTATTCGAAATAGCTGAATATTTCTTTATGCTGATGTATTGAATAGTTACAAAGAAAAATATATTTCTGTATTAAACTGGATTGATGTTTCATCTGATGATTTATACGTTTGATAAATGAGCAAAAGATCAAGAAGTCACATTCAAAAATACTTTTCTTGGACGACAGACATATTTTTGCTATTTTAATGTATCAACTCTTTTTACTTGAAGCGTTCGTAAAATACAATTTATGAATTACAATTTATTTGGTAATATCAGTGTTAAAAACATGCATACTTTGGTCACACCTTTCAGTGATTATTATTGTTGCCAGATATTTGAAACATATCTTTTTTCTCTTTTTGACTGTGAAAAATCTTTTCTCACTATTGCGCCTCAAATATTTAGCAACGCAAATAGCGATATCGCAAAGAATCTAAGGAATAAGTTTAAGAACTAACTCATAAATAAATTTGTGTTGCACTTTATATAAACTTTGCTGGGCTGCTTAATAAAAGCAAAACTTGTAATTGCTAATAAGTATGATAAACTTAAATGGTTCTTGCAACGCACCATTAGTCAAAGCCTTCTGTCTTCAATCATCTTCACTATCAGTGCTATTGATTAACTTTTCTGATGATAACATTTTTGCGTTTCCTTCTGCTGATCCTTCTACCATTTCTGATTCCAGCAAAGTAACTAAAGAAAATTAAACTCATTACATTTCCATTTTCCTATTCCCAGTCTGTTAACAAAAACATACCTGAATAAATATCTCTTCTTCTAAGATTTATTTCTGCTATCCTTGCAGCATCAATCACAATTAAGTTTGCCAACAAACGTTTTAAAGAAGGAAAAAAATGATGTGGCCAATATTTTATTGTAAGTTTTCCATACTCTACCACCTCTTCTTTGCAATTCCTGAATTGTAAAAATGCTGGAAATTATTTACTGAACTAAAAATAGAATTTTATTTAGTTTCAAATGATTTAGAACAGTATTATTTCTGTACAAAAAAAACTTGCATATTTTTGAATTTCTTTTTCATGGATATAAAGGAAATACAAACTAAAACAGAAATGTAATAAAAAGTAAGGTTTCAAGTTTTCAGAATAATCAATTTAAATTGGGACAGAAATCTATAATCAGTCGAAAGTGAAAAAAATTCCTGTGGAATTTCTAATAAAACAAGACAAAAGACAGAACCTTAACCGTACCCTGCTTGAAAGCCATTATAAAAGTTTTCAGTCTTTCACTTAAAAATTTTTAGAAAAAGATTCATATTATACAAGAAATGCATACTTATTTTTAATATTTCACGTAAACATATCCAAAATTTGTAAGCTAAGCACGACAAATAAAGAACAGGAATATTACTTACAAGCTATAGTAAAAATCGGTAATGACTTGATATATATAAAAATTTTCGGGCTCATCATCAAGCCATTCGGTAACAACGTCTATCTTATCTAAGACATTTCCAGTAGAGCTTTGTTTTTCCAGAGAGCTGAATGTCATCCTGAAAGTTGTTCGTTTACTTTTAATATCTAAAATCCCAAGCCATTATTCTGAACAAAATTACAAAAATTAAATAGTAAAAATTTTACATTATAAAGGTTGCTACAGAACCAGGAAACAATAACTTGTTTTTAAGCTCAATCGCATAATTCAAAGCTTCTTCATGAGGCTTGAGATTATAATAAGCCTGAAAATTTTATTTTGGTATAAAATGAAAATGTTGGTGCATTTATATAACATATCGTTTCTTAGACACTGCAACCGACGTTTAAACTCTCGTAAAAACTTCACTTCAACACTACAGATAACAGCCAAAAAATTTTAATTTCAAATTGCTGTGATTTGTCAACTCATAAAACAAAGCACGCAAAGCATGGAGATAATTCATGATCATGCTTATTACTCTAGATTGTTAAAGCTTCATACGTATCTGCAAACTTAATGAGGCAGCACATCTACACAACAACAGCTTATATATTGCATTGCTAGTTATTACAAAATTATGAACATACGTAGAAGAGACACCAACAGGCAAAAGATTTATGTTCAGATTGGAATCGAATTTTATTTGATTCAATATATTCCACTAGCAAATTCAGCGCAGTACATCTCTTGGTTTTATCATTTATGGCTATTCGCATAATTGCATATTCTCTCAGTAAGCTGAAGATAAAAGTAATTAAATGACTTCAAGAAAATTACATCCCTAAGACTATTTTGAAGTTAATATCTTCATTTCTGATCGCACATAAATATCACTGAGGAACGATAATTTGCGATTTAAAGAAACTAAAATGTTAGATTATCTTCAGTGTGTAGTGCTATAGACGAAATGTAAGATCATAACATAATTTTAAACGCCAAAATCAATCATTTTATGTTGGTCAAAAAGAAAAAAAAAACAGCACAATATATATCTTTACTAGAATGTCTCATTATGATGCGAATTTTAGTGTTTAATTATAACAGAACTTCTTAGGATTCTTAAAAAAAGAAAAATATTTGAAAGCACTTCACTAACCCGCTGATTAATGAATCTTTGTCGACTGCAATAGCACGTTCACATAAGTTTTTAATTCTCTCGAACCTCACCATAGTCAATAAAATTCCCTCCCTCACTTGGTCCTCCGTACCATCCAAAATTTGTAAGCGCAGACATACTGTAAGTGCAGTTTGCAGATAGAATTGCGCTTGTTCTTTGTTAGAGAACATCGATAGATCAAGATCCCTAAAACATGCAATTTGCATGACAAGTGAGTCAGTCTATTTCAAAAACACTCCTGTGTGTTTCAAAAATAAAAAAGTTTCAACTTTATTGCTTTACTACAAATGGTTTTATCAAAAAACTTTAATAACTGTACTTGTGGAACTTACTTAAAAGGATCGCTCGATATGCCCCGCCCTAAACTTATATAGCGCATAAAAATTTGTTTCCGTCTATTAGTTGGTACTTTATACTGATCTTGTACCCAAAACTTTTCAAATTCGTTCAAGAAATGTTGAACCTAAAATATATAGTAAATTAAGAAAAAAAATAGAAATGAAGACAAGATGTGAAGTTGGAAGACGTATTAATTCATCATACGAATTTTGGAATGAAAACTTTCACTTGAAAAATTTCTCATCAGTCTCAATACTATTAACTTATAATTACTTTATGAGTAATAAATTTTTAGAACCTCATAGCCATGTATTTGAGAGTAAATCAATGAAAGCAGCAGAAATGCTTCCGCTCTGTATAATCCTTCACCACATGAATACGCCTTAATTAAAATGTCAACGACATAGCTGTGATAACCTAGAGCCATTCTTTTCAAAGCCTTCTTATAGCCGCTAAAATCATAGGAAAAGTTGGGAAGAAAAGTGATCCGTAATTATAAATTCCCATTTAATACAAATTAAATTTTAGAAGACTTGAAAAGTGCAAACATTGCATGTAATTGTAACAAACTTGCCTGTGCTATACCATGAGATAGTGATTAATTTACACAGCTACAATCATTGTATTTAATGTGATCCTATTCATTAATCATTAGAAACTAAGAGATAGCACAATTACATGCAATGTTGCTACATGAACGAAAATATTTTGAAATAACATAATTTAGATTTGTTTATCCAGTAACAAACTGCACATGAGTCTCCAATCACATTTTAAAAAAGGCTGTTATCTGACTAAACGAAAGCATGAACTGAAACCTTTCTGCCAGAAACGATTTATTAGTTGGATCCTTCAGTTCTTCAAAAACCGATAGGAAATCTTCCAATAGTACATCATTACACGGGCATAAAGCCCACATGTTTATCCAGTCCGGATTTAGATAAGGCTTTATTCTTTGAAACTAAATTACCGAAAATTATCAATAAAACAAGAATGAATGCATTTTCTTATTGAAAAATAAACCTTGATTTTACGAGGTTTTAGTTGAGAAATGAAAAATAAAATTCGGATTGTGCTGAGTTCGTTGATTTTAAATATATTTTGTAGAGATATTTAAACATTTGTACTTGTAAACTACAACAATAATCACAAAGGTTATCTATAAGTAATCAAAGATTCTGACTAATTGCTATTTTTGATTTCTTTTGTTTGGTACTTATATCTGTACAGATGACAGTACAATAGATGCTCAAATTAAAACTAGTTTACTAAAATTTAAAATTCGCTAAAAAAAGATTTAACAATTTGAAAATGAAGATGCGATATGGCTGTATTATCAGAAACATTCAAATTACTGATTTTTTTTTACAAAGCATAAGTCTTACACTCCAGCATCTATCTTTCAAGTGTATTCATCTCTACCTCACATACTTTTGACTGAAATGATTTCTGCATGCACAAACAAAATTAGACTTTACTCTTTTCATTACTGCGTCCCAAGCCCAATTTGTAGCTGCGCGGAAACTCTTTTCTCTGTTTTCTAATTCACAATTTTTCACAGGTATATTGTAAGCTTGCAACATTGCTATGTACGATGCATAATCTAAAAATTGCAATTTGAGGGCAAAATTTGTTTTTTCATTGTTTTCCAGGTGCTTTTTAAATAACATGCAAAGTACCATCTTTGCTCGAATAAAAATCTTTTTCGCATGCATGCAATATGCATTTGGAATTCTACGATTGCTGAAATTCCGAAGTTGTCTATTACACAAATGCTTTCATAAAATTAAAGAAGCTAAAGAGACTTGACCTTTGTATGCTTGCATAAAGTTTTTACAATCGTCGTGCGTTATAAGTGCTCGTCTTTTGTACCAAAGGGCGTGTCCAGGATCGTTTTGGATTAAACTATTGTAAAACTGCAGACAATACTCAAGATGATCCTAAACCAAAAATTAATTATTGAAACTATTCATATTTCCACTAATTTTACTCGAAACTCGCTGAATTATTTATTTACTAACAAACTCTTCAGGGTTTATAACAAAAATTACAGCAAAGCTTTCTTAACAACCTTTTTTGCGATCAGTTTCTTTAAGGATGGGAAAAAAGTAAGGGAACCTTATCTCCAGTTTTCCTATAAAGAGCCCACATGCAAAGACAGCCTCTATCTTGGTAAAATCTAATTAATTTCATATCTCTGCCACGACGATCCTCTATATTTCCGTGCTTGTACATTATTTTCACGGCTAGGAAATAATCATTGCAAGCTTCTTTAAAATTTCCGATTTGAAATTTATGATCAGCACGACTGGAGTAATTATCCGCTTCTTTTCTGTAGGAACTCTTATTACCAGCTAAAATATTTCCATTAAACTGCTTTGAATTTCATCAAAATCAACTTCTAGTATTAAACTGGTTCAGATAAAGAATTACAATTGAAGCAGAAATAACCTGGCTACATAAACTATCCACTTTAGGTTCGAAAATTGATTTTACCTATAAATACCAGAATCATGAGAGTGCAAAACTTTTTATAGCCTATATTAACACTGATCATGCAATCCTGATGAAGATGAGGTTTAATGCTTCAGAATTATATCAATAAACATTCTCATTAGCGCAAGAATGAATGCATTTCCTTTGAAAAACAAACATATTTTGAGAATTGTTTTTTGCATAGAATTGAAACGTCTGTGCTGTATAAAAGGTAGATAGTGTAAAAGTTAATTCTATAAAGTGAGTAAAATATATATGACAGCTTGAAAATACTAAGATGCCACTTCCCAATTTATCACAAGTACTGTTATTTCAGCAACAAAAGATAATTTATTTGCTCTGAGTGAATCAATACCACCTTCAACCTTTTTCAGTTATTTTAAATGCATAAAGTCAGCTTTTTTCATGTTTTCTCTCCTCGGAACATCAAAGTAAATACGAAAATTTACTTACTGCTTTATAATACAGAAAAGTAAGTTAATATAAGTTATTTTTTGAATTGTGTTGACGGTATATTTCGAAACAGATTATTAAAACAAGTATGTAAGTTTTTGATTAGTCTAAGAAAAGGTTAGAAACGAGCTGGGTTTGTGTAGAGCACTGACTGATGCTGTGTTCTGCAATCTATGAAAATATTATCAAATATGTGCGCGAGAAAAATTGTTTCACCTTTTCCATATGATATAGGGCCAAGTGAAAGTTTTGCTTGGGGCATGCTATCCATGTTCTCGCTTAAAGCAGTTAAGTACAATTCATGTGGTTCACACATCCGTTGAACATCATTTTCGTCAACTCTCAACACTTCTTCTGTAGTTTGCGTTGTACCATCAAGGCATTCTAGAATTGCTCTCTTATTGATTTGTTTACGTTTTTTATTTCCTTTCTTGTCTCTCTTCTTTCCCATACTGTCTAATCTGCAAGCAAAATGACTGTCGATTAAAACGGACACATATTCTTCACAACTCTTTCACTGTCTAATAGCATATCCTTATGAGAAAGCAAATGAATGCATATTTTGCATGAAAACACCTCTCAAACCACTAGCTCATATAATTGCTGAATGATGCTTGCTATTAGCAGATCAATTTGAGGCAAATCATCGAGTACCAGTTGCCGTAAAAAATTTTTTTATTCAGTCTAATTAACGACTCATTCAAATACACACTAGCAATCTCTCTTTTGTTCAAGCGATTATACTGCTGAATACGAGAACTGAAGATCGAATAACTCAACATTGATCTATAGGAGCGCAAGAAGCAAATACGTCAAATGCCATCAAATCTAACGCTTTTTCATCAGTTCTAAGATATTTTATTGAGAACAAACACTTCCGTAATTCGATCTATTATGTTACCTAATTCATTCGCTTCTGCATACAGTTTGAGGAGAAAAAAAACAAATATGCTTTCTTCCCTTCTGAAGTTGCAAAATTTAATGGTGTTGGCATAGTTTTTAGCTAATGAGTGAATCGTACGAAGCTTGCATTAACTACAGGTGACAATTTTCGATTACATATACTACTTACTGAAAGTACGGGATACATGATGAGAATTGACCTCACAATCGATGACTTAATTACTATACTAATAGTTCCGATAAGGTGAATTTGAGAAATTGATCACTTCTTAAATTATAAGATAATCCGAACTATTTCAATGCAGTGAAGAGGAATAATCTAACAATCTTGCCAAATTGAGAAATCGAAATGAATTGAGCAATTCAAAAACATAACTCTCAGCCCAAAATATAACAGACATAGCCAGTGATACAGTCCATCTGTCGGTTAGAGCAGAGATCAGAGAACTACGATAGCCAAAACGAGTGAGGGAAAACTGACAGACAGTTTAGAATGCATATTTGGAGCAGCTAAGTAGCATGCGTCTCGTGGGTGCTATAGGCCAGAAGACTGTAACTTTTATCGCAGTATTAATTTATTCATAATAAAAAATCATGATATAATACGGAACAATTCGAAGTTAACAAATTAATTTGAAAGTTGAGTATATGTCATCGACTATTGGTGGATATTGCTGGTCATACGGTCATATAGTGGTAACCACGCAAATATCGCGATAAAGATAATGCTATGCAAATTCCAATCAGCTGAAATCATTTCTCCATCATCAACAGATAATAGTCTAAGAAAGCTTTTTAAATGCTTAATTTCGGACAAATTCATGAAAATTTATCCATAACAGAAAAAAGAATTATTTTCTTCTACGAAAAAATTTTCAAAGAGAAAGCACCAGTGTGTGTATTAACAACAAAAATTCATGCATTTCAAGTCCACTTACGTCACAAGAAGTGAGTAAAATGAAATTAAGGACCTGGAAAAAAGCAAATGATAAACCAACGGAAACGAATATAGTCGTTTGTACAGTTAACCAGCTTAAAACCTTTTCATAACAACCCTGAAAGTAAAACAAATTAGTAACAATCAGTTATTGACAATTTATCATCATTCTATACCATTGAAAGTATATTCCCCAATAGCAGATGATATAATTCGTTCACACTTCAAACTTATTTCGAGTGATTCTTTTTACTAGTAGGATAGAGAATAAAGTAGAAGAAACATAACTACGGACAAGGTTCTCAAGAGGATTTGATAGTTAGACTTGGGGTATTCATTATTTTTCATAAAAATTGCTGGAATATTCATTTCAAGACTGCATATTTGCAGGTAATTTCTAGAACAATTTTTCCAAGACTTATATCTCAACAGAAGAAAGACTAAGATTAGCGAAACAACGGTTACTTAAATAATACAAAGTGGATTTGAAATGGCGCTAAAATCATAAGTTTCTTCTATATGTAGTTCATATTAACACAATTATAACAGGTTTTGATATTTTTAAGAATCGTAATATAAAGTAATAGCAATTATTCTGTAGCAATAAGTTATGAATCTGACGATAGTATCTACTTTTTCCATAAATAATAAAATAAGTGTGAGTAAATGGTTAGCGTCAAATCACCACAATTGCATGCTCAAAAAAATTATGCAACACCTCAACATACATGCAATGAACTGGTCTTAGGTGCCATGAGGAAGGAAATTAATACAATACCTGGATGTTGACAGAGTTATTGAAAGCAGACGTGAAGTAATCATAACCGATACACATCGGATCTATTGGTTTCAACTGCGTTGCTCGTGCTTCTTGTGTTTGCTTACAGCATGACTGTGGTACGAAGGATATGGTACCACGTAAGGTATTGGTTTTATACCAAAATGAGCCACGGTAATTAGAAGGAGTCGTAACACCACAACAATGTTGCTATAAGATGACATCGACGCTTAGCAATAAAATTTAGCATTACTGAATTTGACCTAGATTACATAATTCATGGCTTTTTGTACTGAAATTATCTCTCGTGACAAACATATGTGCAAACAAATGAGATGCTACAGATGTAGCAGTTCAAAAATCACCAGAAAACAGAATAAAAAAAGAAGTTATGGACAAAAACGAGAAAATTAATAACATGACTTTAATTTGTAATTAACAGCATGAGCAACAAACACAAAAATAGCAAAAAATTATGAGAAAAGAGTTCAACTAACTTCTGCCTTCGCTTCTTTATACCATTTTCTTTCATTATTGAAACCAGTTTAAAGCTTGAAAGATGAAAAAGTGATTAAAGAATAGCAACAGCTAGTTGAACAAACTTTCCAAAGCAAAATTATGAAAGGTTATGATGAAACTCATTGACATCACACAAAAATTAAAAACAAGTACAAACATGTTAGCCATTATTAAATTAAATACAGCTATTTAATTATTATCAGAGTCATCACTAAATATCAGTTCTCCAGCTTTCACACAACTGTTAATACCAAAATAAATAAATAAAGCGATATTCCCTATTTAGGTCACTTTCCATTTTTAATTCTCAACCTTCATCTTATGAAAGAGTGAAAAAACTTTGTACTGCCCAAGCTCTAACTTAATTTGAAAATATGAAGTCTAAAAATTAGGAGGGCCACTGAAGGAAGAAGTTAGAATGAGATAATTACTTACTACTACCAAGAACGTAAATGCACCATGCTTATCTACTTAACACCAATTATCGCTATGAAAAATTGCTCAATGTATAATTTTTTTCAAATTTCTCAATGTTAAATAAATGAAATAAAAGTGTACAATTTACCAATACTTTAACAAAATAAACAGCTGATTTCCTGCGGATATGTAAACTACAAAAATAAGTATTGAAGTTTTCACCTACCTCAAATGTTAATATTTTTCAATTACAAAAAAGTGATTGAAAACATTGAAACTAGCTGAACTGTTATTTGTACATTTATGACAATGTCATGGCATAAATTTACTCCCAAATGAGTACGATACCGTTTGGTGGCGCCATAATTTATTAGCCTGAGGTTGTTGACACCGTAATGAACTTCGAGCTACGGGATTCATCGCTGTAGCACCAAGGAGCTGGACACAACACGTACTGGGTAAAGAGTCGGAATCAAAAAGAGACTGTTGTTGCAATGATTTTACATCAGTCCAATATGACGTACGCCAACGACTACGACTCCACTCCTTATAATTCATGGAACCACAGCACTGCTCCTAGAAAATTTTGATTCTCAATGACGTTGAAGCTTTTAGTATACACATTCCTCATATAAGTATTCAATTAAAAAGACTAACATTAAACTGTAATCTGTCGATAAGCGATGTTATTCTAACATTTTGTTCGGTATTTAAGCCAACACCATAATTTTCTCTCATTAGCGATTGTAATTTATTGTCAAAATTACTCGTCAAAAACTAAAATTTCCATTAAAAGCTTTCTGCAAACATTTCGAACACAGAAATTCTTAATTTTAAATTGTGCTGAGCGCACTGAAGTCATTTTGCAAAAGCTGTATATATAGGAGGGTATACAATTTGCAAACTGCATCTTCAACAAACATCTCAATTTTTAAAACTTCTCTACCCAGAAACTTATAAGCTTGAGTAGATAGCTTAACATAACCATTAATACAATAAAAAGTATCAACAAATATGTAATGAATTTCTACAGTTCCTTCTAAAACAAAATCACCAGTATCAAATATGCTACAACATTCTGGAAAATGCAAACAATATTGTTATGAAGAACAACTTATACATGGTTATTGTACGTGCAATAAGCCATCATGAAGGACAAACTAAACTTGAATGATTAAAGTACTCTTAAGAAAATATATGACTAAGAATGCTTTGATTACATTTTTCCACAACAGACAAAATTTACTTGTGAGAAATTAGATTCGTATGTCCTTTTTTGTATCAACAAGGTGCCCAATACATCCACTCAAATATATATAATGTTTGTGGCACCATATTACTTCCAACTATACTAATAGACGTATGATTTTCATACGTTTTCTGAATTAAACCTATAAAAGCCATGAAAACTTCAGTACAATAAATACTGTTAAATATTAAAGCTGAGATTTCAATTACTTAGTATATCCCAATTTCGGAAACTAAAAATTAATGAAAAAATTACATAGTACTGAATGGTATCTATGAGTGGAGTGACCCAATAAACACGATCATACCGATTTTGTATTAGCGTTGTTAGATACACACTCAACTTATCGCCAACAAACTGCAATGCATTTTTGATTACTATGTTAACTGCTTTGAGATTTGGGCATTACATGGTGCTTTAAAAAGTGACTAACCTTGTTATGATAGAATAACGTTAAACAAGCAACAGCTACATCGGCGAAAAATATTATTAACAAGCAAATGGAAAACTGAAATAAAAATTTACAAATTGCTCATTATCATAGCTAGTAATTGATGTATATTTACGGATAATCATGAAAAACTTGAAAAAAAAAATGATTTTAAGCACTTCATGCGCATATTATCTGATCTTTTATTCATTTTAACGAAAATTTTTGATCCGTACTTCTTTTAAAGTGTCAACTGCTGATTACTGAATACTAAAGATTAGTTAGCAAGAAAAATAAAATTATATGAAGAACGAACTGTAGCAATTAAAAACAAGGATTTTTTGATAGTACCACAGCAACCTATAAAACCAATTATAAGTGTGACAGAACCAGTGATAAGTGCTAAATAAGTGGCACTTCGAAGTAATGGATCATCCTCTGAGAAGTCCACTAAATCAAGAACATAATTACGTCGTGGATCGAATAATGTCCATAATGACAAGAATATTCGTGCCAATCCAGTAAGCTGTAGATTTAATAAATTGTTAAATGCATTACTGAGAATTGATAATGTCCAAAAATCTACATCTGAGAACTTATTATTTACTCTGGCTAATGTATCACTAACTACTGACAGTACTTGGTGCTTCTTACATAAAGATTTCGAAGCGTGAAAAAATTAAAGGAACAAATCAGTATGATTTTAAAGTACTAAATACGTTTCCTGCTATATCAAAATCATTAGCACTGCGAACCTTAAAAATGAACGGTCACATAAAATATATTTACCCAAAACAAAACGGTGTAGACAAGAAAACAAATTTGAGCACACTGACTGCTTGAATTCTCATTCATTGCAGAAATTATTTAGATAGAATCTGAAAATTAAAATAAGCAACTGACTGCTGCCACAATACATCGATTTCGATTACACAATGTTGTCATAACTGATCTAAAATAATTGATGAATCATCTAATATTACACAACTTATCAATGAAATTAATTCAACAGCACAAATCACAATTTTCAACCAAAATATGAAATAGTAAATGTGACTGCTAAATTGCACCTTTTCTCAACCATTTTGCATCATATAAGCCGAGACTGCTTCCAAAGCACTTTATTCTCTTATAGCATCATAAAGATTGATTTCAGTTATGTGAGATGTAGTTGGTGACGAAGGAATCAACAACATATCTACTCCACTTTGATAAACAATACATCATGTAATGACTGGAAGAACTGTGTTACAAATTTTTAAAAGCAAGCGTACGTAAATTCAACAGAATGGTCAGTAAAATAAAATTGCATCAGCGCTTTTTCACAATTACTAAGAAAAGAATAGCACTAAAAAGGTATTCAATTCAAAAATTCGATTTAAAAGTTCTTCAGAGTGAAATACAGAAAAAAACTGACATGAGAATGTAATGGCAAGCGAAAATACAAAAAGGAACGGAAACAGGTGCTTTAATAACAACTGTTTTCAGGTCAGAAGCGACTGCTAGTCAAAACCATCACTCTTACTATTGCTTATGATATACACTACTATTACTAGTCAATTAAATAACATCTTAAAAGTATTCATTAAAAAACAGCTATAATCTTGAAAGTACAAACAGAAGAAGAAATTAAAGACTGAGCATTAGACTATGAAAGTTGAATGTTTCTAAAATGAAACACATCTGATATTTTCTCTAAACACAATGGATGTCAAGATAAACAAATCTATCGCTAGCTAGTGCGAAATCATATTATTCGAGTACAGAAAATGTTTTTCCAGTAGACTTAGAGCATTTAAGTTTATTTATTGCCTGAAAACCATTCAGTGATCAATCGTTTTGCATTAACAACTGTCTTCTCAGATACAAATCAGTACGTAAGCTGAGCAACTTCTGTGGCAGAAGGTGTTAGCAACAACTGACTAGAAAAGCGTTCACTTCTATATATTTGCACATTACTTTGTCAACAACAATTGTTGACCATTGATTGGCAAAGTATAAACTAGAAACACTATGCCGCATTAAAACTTTGAGCAAGCACTTCTTTGGCATACGAAAAAGAAAAATTAGAATATGTAAATTAATGCGAACAAAGTGTATGCGTGGTAATTGCAAGTCGTATATATATGTATGTAAGTCATTTATACACTTACACAGTTAGAACTGAAAAGGACGAGCAAAACAAGTTAGAGAGTTGCACAGATTAGAACTACTTTTGTTCCTTTAAAAGACTTCTAAAGGAATGAACAATTTGTTCGAGCGCAACAAAATGTATGTAGAGACTGCAAAATCTATGCAATACGAATCAGAAATGTAGCTAATACAGCACGAGAATAATGGTATCTGATAGATCAATAGCACAATCAGTGGCTACTCACTGTGACCGTTGAAAGTATGTGTCTGTTTGTAGGCCCGATCGTTTATTTTAAGCAAATACTATAATGTTTCTTTCTATCATTTATACAAATAAATAGTTACTCTGTGGTTGAAATACTTCCTCTGTTTGGAATTAGTCTGACAGCTGCCCACATGACCCGCCAAAGAACTTTTCCAAATTTCCTATACGTTTTCTCTTCACAGAAACAACGAACCAAAACTGGTTCATGACGTTTGGCGGCCATGACGTTTTGAATATGTTGATGCGAAACCACTGGTTTATGGTTTCGCATCAACATATTTAAAACCGATTACTTTAATTTCATCAAACTAACGTCAAATAACATAAGCCAAACAATTGTTTGAACAGTACTATTTCTACAATTGAAAACCGACTATTTTCTAGATTATAAGAGTTGAATAAATGATTCTCAAACTTTCCACCTCTACTTTTCCTAGTTCTATATATACTTAAATTTCACACATTCACATACGCATTTCTGACAGAAATGATGCACGTCTACCAGTAGTTTGGACACAAAGACTACTTCATCTTCTATGCATATCTTCTGTAAGACTACAGTAGCGAAACTTGATAATGCCGATACTTTGATGGCAGACACTTGACAAGATTCATGACGAACCAGAATCCCTAACACACTTCATACCTGCAGAACACCATTGAAACAAGGTATGTCACTTGTTCAGTACCAAAGATTGACAATTGCCTTCTTGAAGCAAATTAAATTCCAACATCAAAGTGTAGCTAGCTTATTGTAAAAGTCTCTCCCATGGTGTTTCTATGGCATAACCTACTCGACAAAATTCGTATTGGATAATGCGAAAACAGTATAGACCACATAATGGAAGAAATAAAATGTGTCTCACCGATTTAATTCCACCCAAACAAAGAAGTCATAGAAGTCCACAATTAATGTTTATTCTTTTATACATTATCACAGATTTAGAACCATCACGTTTGAATAAGAGCTCAGCTACAAAAATTTGAGATGAAAATAATTACAATGTTTTAGCATGAATGAGCAATATTTTTACATAACTAGGTATGATCACAAAAAAAAAATCTTACCGTATCGAGGGGAAAACAAAGCAAGACAAATTTGCTATGTAAATATGATACTGTACAATAATACCAGCAAATTCAGAGCGATTGATAACTGAGGAAGAATAAAGCAACCCATTAATTATCACGAAAAGGAAATGAATGATTAAAATGAAGTGCTTTCAATGTTTTATATTAAGCAGAAAAACTGAATATTCTACGAAACTGCACACTGCTTGTTTTCAGAAATGTTGCGGAACTGCTTTTCGGCTTCATCTTCATGTGTCGATATTGTTCCATAATCATCGCCAATCACTTGGACATATTGCTGATATTAAATTACTCAAACATCAGTACCCATTCAACACAAGTATGTACTTATACTTTACGGAAAACATCTGCTATATATGTGTGCCAAAATCATGCAGAAGCACTTCCCAACAAAACCGTTGGAAAAAAAAAGGCTAACAATGCAAACACTTCTACCTTACGGTAACATTGCTCCTCCATTTATTAACTTTTAAGGTAACTATTACTTCCAACAAATAAAAATTAACTCTTGAATGATCAAAAACTGTAAATACAGACATACCTTAAGTCGTTCCGCTGCAAACAACCAGTTTGAAACTTCGTGTTGCAATTTAATTGCACGTTTTGTACTTCTATCTTCACTTCTTAAAACTTGCAATGCACCTTCAATCGCTAACGTATATTTTTCAAACGCATCACTCCACTGCTCCTCATATTCCAGATCATTCGCAGCTCGTGCTAGAAGTTCTGCAGCATAGACCTGAAATTTGCTTTAGGACTTAATTACTAAGAATATTACTGAAATATTAAATAAAATTAATTTAATCATAAAAGAGCAGATAACATATCCTTTCCAACAATTCATTTTAAACAAGCGCCTCGTACATACTTGGGGTTTGTCTTTCCATTCTGAATGATCATCAAATAAATGCGATGATGGAAGCTGCTTCGTAACTGGTCGTAAATGTTCCTTCATATTTTCGGCATGCTCCAAATGTGCTTTAATTTTCTTCCGAAACTCCGCTTTCTCTTTATTCTCCTCTAATGATTCCAACCAACACATATAAATTTGTATAGCATTTGTCAAGAGCTTTATCGCGGCCACCAAGTTCTGAAAACAATATACCAGGTTTCTTCTAATAATATACTGACCACAATGAGTAAGTTTACTCCTACAGACATGGTTCTCGTATATTTTGACTCTTCATCGTGATAAGACCAATCTACTCCGTCTTTGAAACTAGTATATGCTTTACCATATAATGCAACATGCAGCATCATTTTGAATGTAAAAAGTTAAGCATAAGCAACAGTACTTTGGAAATATAAATTTACTGAAGGAAAAACATACATCTTCTAATTCAGCTTGTCGTGACTGCTGTACATAACTATCCGCTTCCCTTAATTCAGCAACTGTAGTCAATTTTGCGATATTTACGAATGGATGTGTGAAAAATCGCTCAAACGTAATTCGATGAAAAGGATCACGAACTAGCAGTCCTAGAAGCAAGGTCAATGTTTTTCATGAATAGTATTTTCCAATTGTGTATTTGTTACGGAAATGCAGTAGAAAAGAAATACCTTTTAGAAGGTCAAGACAATCATGCGAGAGATGTATATTTTTTAAAAAATGTATTGGTTGTTTGGATAAAATCTGTTCTACTAATTCATCATATGTATCAGCCCTGAATGGAGGTATGCCGTACAAGCATTCATAAAGAATGACACCGCATGACCTGCAACACAAAAGCTTAAATGTTTTTTCATACTAGTTCGAAAACCTTCCCTTGAATTAGTTCTAAAATTCTAAACGACAACACTTTCTTCATCTTCATCCTTACAAAAACAAAACCATAGATCAACACGACTATCATATGGACAACGGCGAAAGATTTCAGGAGCCATGTACAGTGGAGAGCCTCTAAATGAACATGCATGCTCATTCTTCTTCAAATATAATGCCAAACCAAAATCTGATATCTGTAAAGAGATTCATTTGAAAACTTAGTAAATGCATTGTGAAATATAAATAGAACGGTTAAAAAATATGGAACACTCAACAAAACTATTAATTTAAAAAACCTTAACAAAAGGGGAGTGTCGGTTGGTAAGCAATATATTTTGTGGCTTCAAATCCATGTGAGCTACATTCATCGTTCTCATATACTGAATTGCCACCGCTATTTGACGAAAAAAACGCCGCGTAAGAGCTTCCGGTAATGAACCGTAGCGTTTGATAAACGAACTTAAATTATCACTTCCACAGTATTCCATTATAAGATAGATGTTGTTATGATCCCAGTGAAAATCGTGTAGACGAACTATGTTTCTGGAAAGATATTTATATGTTTCTGGAAAGATATTTATATGAATTTTAAACAACCTCATTTATCTATGAAACATTTGGCGACTTTCTACAACTTTGCAAACAATATTGCTTTTCTTATTATCTGCACTTACCCAGCTTCCCCACTTCATGCAACTCTGACTTTTTCATGCCAATTATCTAAACAGCTTATCACATATAAGAAACTACTTGTGCTTTAAGTTTTTCAATATTTTTATTTCGGAAACAACACAATCAGAGCTCAGCTTCGATGAATTAGCTGCTTGCATACTCATAACTTTTATTGCCACAGTACTGCGAACACCATTATTCCTTGGAGCTGCAGACACTGCCTTGAAAACATATGAAAATGACCCACTTCCGATTCTATAATACATAAGCATTAAAAGATAAGAAACAAATATGTAAAGTTGTGCAGTTTCAACAAGTAACTATCTAATTAATTAAAGTATAGCATCCATTATAAAAGAAGCTTGAATCCAAACTCTGATATAAAACCTTTCACAAACAATGTATCCAGCAATTGTGCTTGGAATATTACACGGCAAATTACATTCATTTGACATTGTTTTGGAACAGTGATGGCGACCTGCCACCACTTTTATTGAATCTAAAACAAGCAGACGGTAATGACTTGATAGTTTGTACGATTTGACTGTATTTCACTCATTTAAGGACTGATCATTCTACACGTTAGCAAATGATAACACCAGAAACATCTTCAAGTAATTCTTGCGTGACAATGGCGTTCAATTATTTAATTTCACTGATGTCATTTCCGAATATCTGTTGTATTTTAACATCTAGCGTATGCATATCTTACAAGAAGTTATTCACCGTAATATTTAATTATCGAGAAGACATTCCAGCCACTTGAAGCACACACTACGCTACGTGAAGACTCATGTAGCAAACTAACCCTTGACTTTTATCAGTATGTCACGCTACCGTACGTGTACTTGACAGCATAGCATGATTGCCATCACAGCAGCAATATCGTTGCACGACAATGATAACTTTTATATCACGTTGGTTGGTTTACTGAGAGTAACTTGTAGTAACAGCAAACATACATGTAAACAAATGTAGGCATGTACTGCTCAGAAAGGGGCTCTGATGATTGATTGAATTGAAAGCAAACTCAGAGTCCATGCATATTTCGGCAGGAAGATACAGCAGTTTGGGTGATTTAGTTATTTTTTGAATATTTTCGATTCTGTTAACAAAGTGCTAATTTGCGGACACATATCGTGATCGATTCCCACTTCTCTTATGTAGTACATTCTCTAGTTCAGTAGTGTTGTAGATTCTTAGGGCCAAGATCAGAATTACCTAGTTCCAGCATGGATCGAGGATCGAATCTGTCGTAGCAAATGACGACAAACTGCAATGCTGTGATAGATTCTTGTGTCATGAGAAACCGCTGAAGTGAAATCTTCTAGGTCTTTTAGCACAAATGTCTGTCTGACCGATACACTAACTGATTAATGCGATAAATTTGAGATGACATTGAAAACCTAGTTGTAAGCATCAAAAATTACTTGCTAGGTGATGTAAAAGCAAGCGGTGGAAGTAGGATATTTTTGTAAATTCAACGTCTAAGGCCAAGATTACGCTACTCAATGCTAGGTTGGCAATTAGCTACACAAAGTACTAGTCTTTCTTTTCACAGATTTACACTCTAAACTTTGTATGACGTGAATTCTGTGAGCCAAAGAAAAAAAATGAGCAGTTTGTTGGAGTGCTGAAAGATACGATGAAGAGGATTTTTTAGCCCAAAATTTTTTAAAATTATTTAAATTATTTTCGTAATTCGGTTTTTCTGCAAGAATTTCAAAATATCATTCCATCTGAAGTAAAAAGTTCATTAAGTACTGGCATGAACACCGCTGGGAGAACCGGTTTCACTGGGAATAAATCGAATTTAACTCATTTAGCATTGAAATGCTCAGCGAGTTAAATTCGATTTTTTTTTGCAAATAGCAATTTCATCCTTTTCAAGTGTTGAACAAAATGTGATTTTTCTATTTTTTCATGCATCGTTCAGAAAAAAAATTCTCGAGAACCAGTTTGTCATTTCTTCAGGCGTCATGTGATTGTCTCCTTACAGTAAGCATACGTAGCTGTTCTGGGAATTCTTGATTAGACTTTTTTGTTTGCCGTTCTTTGACATTGCTTAGCAATCATAACTTGAGCATTTGAAGACGCTCATAATTAGTTAAAGACGAAAATAATAATAGCTTGATTAAATTAGCGCGCTGCTAACCAACAATATAAGCCAAATTTTTGCATGTTGGGGCATCTAATAACTCCATTTATTTTCAACATGTTTTTGCGTATGTTCAATGAGTAATCAGATGTCAATCGACATGATTCCTTTTTGCCAGAAAGTGATAAACAAGCAAGAAACGGATCAACACAGTAGACCACCTGACTGTAACATGAACAGTAAATTTTTATTATTGGCTAATGCGCCGATTCAAATCTTCATGTGGAAACCGTTTAAGATATTTCAGAAGTGATTTGAATGTTTGGAGGTAATTCGAAAGTAACTTTTACGCTTTCACAACTGTGGAGAAAATGCAAAATATATGATGTATGAATCGTAATTAATCTTTTTGCTTAAAAACGTGTATTATCCTTATTTCCTCAATACAAAGAATGTAATATATTTTAATTTTTCTGGTTGAAAGAAGGGAAAACTGGAAGTAAAAGATCTCTGTTGACCTACAAAGATTTGAATTCATTTGCGAATATTAGTTGTTTGAATCAGCAGCATACCCACATCTGTATTCAAGCTTTCTCTCTGCAACAAAAGAATCGTATTTTTTCATTTTCTCATATGTTTAATATTTAATTTGTGATTGACATTCTCCTTTCACATAATATGAATTTTTAAATGCTATTGACATAATTTCAAGAATATCTTTATTATGCTATATACAACATAAGCATTGTTCCAGAACTCTCGACAGGTTTTATTCTTACCTTTATCCTGATTTATCTTTCAGCAGAATATATTTTCATTTGAAACCTTATTTCCGAAAGTGAACGATTGAACTAAACTTAGTTAGTAGTGCTGTACAATAAATGAATATTACATTCTTTGTATTGAATGTAATATTTTCGTCGGCAGTAATGTTTCATACTGCCGACGAAATTAGCCTTCCTACACGTGAGTAGCCATCAAGCTGCTGCTGTTAGATGCGCTGATTTCAAAATCCGAAAGCATCCTGATTTAAACATCAATTCTTCCCGTAAATAAAAGAAAACTTCGACCAAGGATCATGAAAATGAAGAGCTTTGTTTTTACGTTTCTGCTAAATGAAAATATATTCTTGCATCGATTGATCGACTACACTTCAGATTCTTTCTGTTTTAAGAGAAAATCCCATTTTCACAAACAAATTCATGAAAATGCAAAAAGAAGAATGATTTTCGATTTTCTGCCATCTGCTTTGATACTGCCACCTTTTCGTTGCCATATCTGCTCTCTCAAAACTGCAAACTTTCAAAACCCTTTTTCTGCCTGCTCTGCTTTGTTCAACTCTTGTTTCGTTATAAATTGCTTCCATTTATCATTTTCTAGACATGGATGAAAAAATGAGCTGTGTTTATTGAAAATAATGCATGAAGTTTTCGTCTTAATGACGACAAAATGGAACAAAGTTTGAAATTAAGAGCTGAACTGTGACCTAAGAATTCTGAAGACAATAGGAGATAAAGGCAATAAGTGCAGCGTTAACAATTATTTCACCAGTTAAATAAGTAGAAAGAGAAGTTTTGATAATTTGAAGAAATGTCCATAAATCATAGAACGTATTTCATTTTGACGAGATTATATTTACAATTTATACTGCACTTTATCCACATTACGGATTCGGATGTTTATTCCACTATATTAATTTACAAAGCAAGCAATCATTTTATTTTTCCTGCATTTATTTCAGCATCGCCACTGGAGTGAAATTCATCTGGAAAAGAAGGAATAAAGAATATGCTGGGCATATTTGACCTGATTATAACTTTAGAAGTTTCTTTCACTCAGTAGGAGGCAGATTGAAGATTTCTTCATACTGTGCGAGATGTACATCATACTGAATTTTTTCCAATTATTATTGAATAAATTAAATCATCTTGACAGAATATGTGATCAGTTTTTTCCTTTTATTGTAAACCATGACAAAGTTATTGCAGAAAGTTATGACAAAGTAATGAACGCTTATAATACTTTTCTTGTTATCCAATATTTTTATTCTGAAATTGGTGCAAAATATGGATAAACGGTTATTTTTATAAACGTAAACGAAATGGCATTGAAGTAGAGTTTAAGCAGTTTCTCTTATTTCTGGTAATGCAAATAAATGACTGCTAATAAAAATGACTGGCAATCATTGAGTGAGTTTTAAGGAAAGATTATAAGTTTGTCAGCTACTTCTTCTGTTTTTAGCTACAAACGTAGTGATTGTGCATGATTTGAGACACTGCCATTTATTACGTGTTATTCCATATATCATAAAGAAGTGTTTGAGATTTTTTTTATCGCAAAGACAAATTCATGCTAAGAATCAGTCTTGAGAGGCTATCAGAAAACACTGACGTTTCCATTCAATTTTATGTCATTCATGCAATCCACTTATTATGACCTATTTATAATTATTTGTCTTATTCTCACTTGTTATGCATTATTCATGGTCGAGTATATTGGAACTAACAACGCAGGAAAATAAATATGTGGATTTATATACGTAATACAATAGACATTGAAATATTTATGAGCAAGTAATAGATTCAAAAACGTGCTCTACTCCAACGAATACGTGAAATCCACTCTTTCTTACGACAGAGATTCTTTTCTGCAGCGGACCAGCACCATCATCAGTGCCTTGTCACATGCTACAATTTGTGTCTATTGCATTTGAAGCTAGTAGCTTATAGACATACATGCAGACGCTTGTTGTTGCTATTCTGTGCATCTTTGATCTGCTGCACTTACCTCTTTTGCATTGAGTGTGAGAAGTGGCGAGTTCAGCTTGATTGCGAGTCATTAATGCACGACTGCGCATATTTCAGATCAAATATTACTGGTGGGGAATGATCAAGCAAGCAACAAATGTGAATGAAATGGTACAAACACGCTCACATACTCGGAAAGATAACCAGCGAAAACAGCAACATTCTGATAGTAGCGACATGGGAAGCTCTGATGAGGTCTTGAATTTTTGAAGCATATTTTAGAAAATTGTCCTTGATTTCTTTTACTTTTTTCTGTTTCATAAAAATCACCTGTTTTATTCATTGTTTTCAGCTTTTCTGATCTGAAATCTATTAAACTGATGTCGGTATTTGTTGTGAATGGAAATCCATTATTGGAGAGTATAAGATTGTAGTTTTCGGTCGTAGTAAGATGAATTAGGGTACTAATAATTGACTGATCAAACATTTCTATATCATACAGCTCTTCTTGAGTAAACTTGTTCAATTTACTCACATGACACTTTTAGTTACCAATGACTAATAAAATACCTTTTTTGTGAATAGTTTTTGTAGTAAACCTGGTACGAGAACTATTTTTTTTACTTCGAACAGTTTTACGTGAACTTAAAACAAGTTGAGCCGGATGATTGTTGCACTCAATCATTACTCAGTTATTGACACTCTTTAAAGAGCTAGTTCTTCATATTTTAAAATAGTTTAGGAAAGGAAATGCAGTTCAGCGTCTGTAGTTGAAGAACTTGAGAAAAAATATTTATGCAATGTGGATATCGACGAATCAATCATCTTATTAAAATCCATGGTGATTTTTTTCAGCTTCCTCCTATTATTTCAGCTAATAAGACTGAAGGTTAAGACAAATAAGTATTGATAAAGTGATTAACATCATCTTGTTATTTCAACCATTATTTTAAAATTTCAAGTCACACAGTGCAGAATCAACCTTTTCTGATTCAAATTTTTAGATCCACATTTCATTAAGAGTAAAAATGAAAGGTGCGCATTCACAGCCTTCAAATTTAGACTGGCACCAGTCCATGTAAGTTGGCAAGTGAACACAGTCTGTTATTACTTGTACTGAATCATAAATCTATTGATCGAATTGGTGAAAAAGCGCAATTTTTATCGATTTGCCGACATACTCATGAGGTCAGTCAAAACTTCAATTGTTTATTGAGTAATCTTGAAAAATTGTAATTAAATTCAAGTTGTTAAGGTGGATTTGGCTTGGAACGAATTTTCGTCGTGGGAGGAAGTTGCTGCTCTTCTTTCTTTGCCAAAATTGAAATTATTAAATTTGAGTTACAATCCGCTACAGTCATGTCTAAAAGAATCAACCATCCCTCTTGCTGCAAATTTAGGGTCGCTTATATTGAATGGAACTAACTTACCGATGTCAACTGTACGAAAACTGCTGAATAAAGCTCCAAGATTGAAAGAATTATATTTGTCGGAAAACAGGTATTTTACTCTGTTTTCAGTTCATAGTTTTTTGGTAAAGTGCTGCTATCAGAGATTGTTGACTTTCATGATTTGGTTAGGAATCTGGAAGACTGTTGTGATATTGGTGACGAAGTCATTTCTAAATCGTTGGAGTCGTTACATGTAAGCAAATGCAATATCTCGCACTGGGAAACAGTGACGTCATTATGGAGATATTTCCCAAATCTCATATCGTTATCTCTGTCTGAAAATCCTATTCGATCAGTATTTTGTGAAGTAAATGTTTTTCATTTCTAAGATGAAATACTAGCTTATTTTTATTATGAATTTCATTCACTGCTTAGAAATCAGTCAGATTATGATGTCATATAATAAATATTATTTCTCAGACGAATGGAAAAAATCACTTGCATGGAGTTTGTCGATTAAGCTTAAATAAATGCTTGATCGATAATTGGATTTCAATAGAACGTTTAGCAGATATTGATACATTACAAGATCTACGCATAGTCTCGATTCCCTTGTGCAACGAATATACGAGTGATGAGCATTTTCATCTTGTTGTTGGACGTATTCCTCAACTCAAAATTTTAAACGGGTCTGTAATAACGGCTGAACAGAGAAAACAATCTGAACGATTTTTTATAAGGTGAAATTTCCTCTTATTGTAGTTTTCCTAGTTTGCAATTCAAAATTTGGTCTTTTCTAGCGATCAAAAGTACAAAAAATGTGCTATGTGTTTAGATTGTTTCTTTGTATGTGATTGTTCTTATTTCTCATTCGCTAATTCAGCTGGTTCGCTAGAAACGTGAGTATTTAAAAATAGGTCAGCAAATATTTTTTTTCTAATCTGCTAAGTCTCTATACTTTATATCTTTTAATGTGTCCAGATTTCATGAAGCGGGATTTTTCAAACTTAAAAAATTAAGGTAGTTCTCAAAAATTTAATGCATTATAAAGGTTCAGATATTATGATGTCCGTGAAACAAAACCAGAAGTATTTGCGAAGCTCATTGAGCAACATGGACATGTGGAACAGCTTTGCAAAGTTGATATGACCCCTAAAAAATATGCTGTTATTGTTGTCATATGCGAAGAGACTGGGTTAATAATGTTTTTTCTGTGTTGTCAATGATTTTAGTGTTTTTAATGTTGAAATAGTTTTCACATATGGCCTTTTTAAGTCGTAAATATTGCCATATGATCTTATTACACAAACGCGCTATATTTCAGCTATAATGGTAGCCTGAAAATTTGCTTAACACATACAGTTTCTTATTTAATGCGCTTGCTTGAGGAGTTAACAAAGATTCCTGCTAAGCGAATGCGATTGTTTTACATTAATAGTGAGAATCCGTTTCCGGATGAGTTACGTTTTCCAAGTCAAAAGCTTCAAGCACTGCATATTGAGGATGGTGATCAGATTTGTGTTCAGGTACGTCTATAATTTGCTTATGTATACATAGATTTTTTTGAATATAGAAAAACGTTTTGAATGGGGAGCGTACGTTGATTTTAATTCATAGTTAAGTAAGTTTGCAGTCATTCGTTTTCAGTCGAAATTGATTATCAGTAGAAGAGAAACTGCCGCGAAGTAAAAATTATTGTTCCGCCTGTTATTTGTAGCTGTATTAATTGCTTTCGTTTTTATTGCTCTTGTTGCTGAGCAGCATTTTTAATATTCATACTGAAAGTCTGAAATTATACTGTTTGTGTTGATAGTTCATCTACTTCTGTGTCTGACCTCGTTATCATTGGCACATCCTCACTCCACTCTGTGCATTTCAACTTGTTTTTTTCGAATAAATTTTTAGGTTTGAAGTATTTAAAAAATGTTTCTATTATTTCTGCTGTTTAATCTGTGAATATTTAGTATAGTGTTGTTGCAATATATGCCTTTACTTTGTACATAGAACGGCGGGTGTCATGTGTTGACGAGTATAGTTATCTATTTCATTTTTGCTTTATTAGTTGTCAGTTATTTTTTTAAACCGTTGTTAAAAGTACTTTTATTAACATACTTCATTCAGATTTATCAATAGTATAAGTATTGTTTTCGTATATGTGGAGGAAAAAATATTTGCACCATTATCGTAATCTGAAGCTAGTAATGAATGGATTATTTTTAAATGTACATTTTCGCAAAGCAACTTTGTAATTTCTTTATTCTGTTAGTAAATGATTGAAATGCAAGAAATCATTGAGGAGTACACGGTCATTATTTTAGATGTTTTACGATTTTATCATCATTACAAGCACAAAATATAAGAAATAAATGGAAAATATAAAACGATTTTGTTGTGTAATTGACTAGTTAGCGTGAATTGTTTTTGTTTAATAGCCTGTCAGGTATAAAAACAGGTTTCGTTTGTAAGATTTTATTTTCACTATTGAATATGGTCATTATTCTGATGTAATGTGTTACTGCACATTTTTCTTATCACTAATCACTGAACCTGTTGTAGTTCTAGGTATCGAAACTACTTTTTGAGTGTTTAATACTTCATCTTTGCTTTCAGCGAATTCTGATTCGTTGGTGAACTCTGTCAATTCATTGCAGGTAGACTCACTTGCTTTGGTCTGATCTATTGCTGCCAGAAGTTTGTGGTTAATAATATTTGGGTTGTTAGTGTAGTTGCGGTATGTCAGATGCACATAGTTCCGCATTTGCTTGAGTTGAGAGCGAAGAATTTTACCGCAAGCACTGCGTGGAATCTCAGGAACGAAATAAATGCCACCAGCAACTTCTTTAAAGTACGGCATTCTACCTTGAAGTCGATATTTAATAAGACTTAATACGGAAACAAATGAAAGCATAACCACAAGAAGTGAAGTTTGAACTTTGTTACTGCTGGGTAGCACATTAAATAATAATTGAAAATTTTGTCGTAACTTACAGTATTATCGGATATTTCTCTGAAAAAAGTCGAGTTAATATCTCAGTGCGCAAACAGTACAAATTTTCTTACTAGCAAGGTAATTTCGGATTTCATTTGGAGCAAGCTGTTGATAAAGAGAATTCTTAACGATGAATGTAGTAGGTGTTCTTATTCTCGTTGGATGCTCTAGTCGACCAATTATGGCGCAGTCATCAATCCCTGCGTGCTCATGTAAGATGTTCTCCATTTCCGATGGCCATAGCTGAAAGTTGTATGCTTGAAATACGATCTGCAGTACAAATCAAAAAGTTATCATTCATTACTGGAAGAGTCTTGAACTCTGTTCTATAATGAGCTTTGTGATGTTTTTTTAGTCTTAAATTACAATTTTGTTTCCATGAATGTTAGATTATATGATATCAATACTTCATTCAATAATGTATTCAATTCAATAATGTATTCAAAATGCGGCAAAGTATGTAATCATCATGTCCTATTAAATCATAATGAAACGGAGACTCATGTTACATTTTCTAGAAAATGTATTGATGTAATGAAATTTGTTATTACGTCAAGCAGCATTCACTAATTTACTTACCATCTTATCTTTGAATCTGAGGACATCTCTGACCTTATTTACGACAAAGATGTACCCATTTTCATCATAATAACCTGCATCACCTTAAAAAATTGACAATTACTGCAACCTGACTAGTATCAATTAAAATGATAGTTTCAAAATTTTAAACTATGAAACCATAACATGATCTATTTAAAGAGTTTGTTCTTGCCTGTTTTAAAGTATTCTGATTCTAGAACCTTTCGTTCACATTTTAGATTCTCATGCATTCGTGTTCTCACTGGTGGTCCTTCAATGAAAATTTGACCGAGCTCTCTTGGTGCGCAAATTTGTTTTAGTTCCCAACTTAAGATCTGTAATTTAAATAAATTAAGCAATAATCTCGAGGACAAGTTCTATATATAAACGAACCTTAAAACGTAGTCCTGGCAAAGGTACACCAACAGATTTTAATTGGTTTTGACCATAGAGTGCGAGTGAGCAAATAATTCCTGCTTCAGACACTGAATACGCTGAAAACTCAATTTAAACTCTTACTAATATTATTTATAAAAATGATGGACGTAAGTTTTCCAAATTTTGAAAACAGATAGCAGTTCAGAACAATGAACAGAAATTAATTACTAACCATCAAACTTTGAACATTATTTCTTCATTTTCATTCAAATTAGTTTCATTAAACTGGCACTACTCTGCGTATTTCTTATCTCCTGTCTACATGTCTTCATAAACCATTTCATCTATTTCTCAAGTCTGTTAGCCAAAACATTATTACTTTTTGCAAATATATGGGATATTTTGTAGACTAACCTTGTCTGAGGTCATCCAAATTTAAGTGCTTTTTGCATAACTTCATAGTATGCTCACCAATTTGGGCACCACTTGTAATAACGCTTCTTAATGGTTTCAAATTGCTCTTTTCTAGATTGAAATCTTTAGAACAGTAATAGACGAATGTTGGAATAACATATGCTATCGTAACCTAAATGATAAGCTTGGATACAGGAAGTTTTAAACAGGAATTTTCTATTTTGTTGACTAATCAATCATTAAAAGCTGAATGGCAAATTGAAGTAATCTGCGATCCGTTTATTTCACCGTATAAATTTAGAAAATTTCGAGTTATTTTAGTCTGAAATTATGACTTAAAAGGTAAGATATATCTTTGCATTGATAAATATTTATAATATGGAGGGTGTTTAAAAAATGATCAAAAATAATTGTGATCTCATTAGTCTTTCAAAATATAAATCATTTATTTCATTCCAGTGAAACCGATTAAAAATTTCTTTGATATCAAGGCACATACTTTATGCAAACTAGATCACCTTAGTCAGCACTTATATCTGCGCATTTATAACAGTCTTGAAAAACAATAAAATAAAATAAAAGCAGTGCAATCGTTAGTCATATTAGCTAAATTAGATAATTCGAATATGAGAAAAAAAGATACTTTACAATCCTTAATTGCGTTGAGAATTTGGCGTGGTTGTTGTTTAGCAGTTACAAACAGTTGAGCACCGTTTCTCAACGCTAAGAGTGCACTAACAAGACCAAAAACATGGTGGATATTCGCCGCTGCAAAAAATTGTTTTATCACAATTTGTGCATGAAAAACTTTTGTTTATATTTGAGTAGCCATCTTCGATCACTTGACCGCTAATTCCTCAAATGTCGCATTTAAATTAAAAAAATAACTGTACAATTTTAGACGTAGGTAAGAAAATAACTTTAAAAATCAAAAAATAATGCTTAGGATATTTACAAAATAAAATATCATTTTACTGCAAAAACATTGAAAATTTGAAAAGTATAATAAATTTTTTCAAGATACAATTTTTAAATCAGAAAATTACAAACCCAAAAGACATCTGTCATCAACACAGGGTGGTCCGAAGATGGAGCAGTTCATTTGCTGTAGATTCTGAAGCAATGAACGATGTAATACTTCAACTGGTTTTGGAAGTTCTGATGAAGTAATTGAGTAAAATATAATGATTCGCTTATGGGAACTCAACTGGGAGTCTGTCGTCTCGTCTTTTTTAATTTGTTCGCTCACGACCAAATCCTATAATCAAGCAAATAATTGAAGTCAAATAATTAAAGATCAAATTTACGTAAAGCATGCAGAGTTATTAGTTTTTTTAGTAATACCGTAGCAAATCTTACAGGAATAATTTATAAATTCCATATGCTTCTATTGATGTTGAATGTTGAGAATGGCAAAACTTACAATACATGACACTGCGTGTTGTGGTTCTTTATTCATTAATTTTGAAGCGATTTGTGATGGTTCAGATGGCACCAAATTTTCACGTCTGCAAATTAAAACATGTCATGTAGATAGCAAATAAAATTTGGTAAGCTCGTCGGAAAAGAGTGGACGTACGTTTTCAAAAATTTCGAAGACGACTTCATGTCTTCGAAGATTTCTTCCAGTAATCGGATGGACTGAAAAAAAAACTTTTTGTGAACTGATATAACTAAGTACTTCCTGAACTTTCTGGTTAGAAAAATGCTAAAGACTCAGAAGACAATGTATTAACAGAGTTAGCAAGTGTCACTAATGTCAAAATACCGATTCATAGTTAGAACGACTAGAAATAATTTCAATTTAGCTTAATTTGGCTCCTCAAACTGATCACTAAAGTTTCTTTTCTTGTTTCGTTTTTGCATTATTTGCCAAAGTGTCATAACTTAAAAGGATTATATCAAATTATTTTACAAGCTAATTAGATTTACATTTGTCACAAAATTTGATAAAGATTATTGAGACATTTAATGTACAAAATAGATATGGAAGAGGCACAACTAAAACCCTCCCAAGTCAAGTGATTAAATCATTAAAAGATGATTTATTCAGAAATGATTAATTGCATAAAATGTGCTAATCTAATTCTATTTCCTCTGAATGGTTCTGAATTTTTTCTTCTGGTATTTATTTGAAATTTAAATTAAAATGTGATCATTTTCACCAGAATACGTCCACCACTACGATTGCCTATAATACGTCTTACTTTTTCCAGTCTTGCCATATTATGTTGCTCTGCAAAGCAGTACGTTGCTTTACTTTTATTCAGTTGTCCCCATATTTCACCTGGGAATAATAACAATCAAAATAATTTTCGGAAAAAAAACATGAATTTTGCAAATTAAAGTCGAAGTTCGTACATCTCTTTACAACCAGATGCAATATTCTGGTAATGAATTATCTCAGTGTTTTCAATAAATATAATTTTCTGAATATATCCAAGACGAAAGTTGAAGACACTGCACTTAAAATTTATTCGACAGTTAAACTTGGAGCGAATTTTTGTATGTTAATTAGTAAATTTCTTTGACTGTCTTTTTCCTTTCATTTTGTCTCTCGTGCTCACTCTATCTTCTATAATTTTGGATGTACAATCTCAAATTTCTAAAAAACGCAGTCAGCAGACAAAATTTTAGGCAAACTATTATGCAAGGATTTCAGAAGATCAATTAATTATTACCAGATGACAAGCTTGCGCTTACGGATATAACGACTGCATCCAGCATTGAACAGGCAAAATGTATGAATATAATTTTTGCTGACACAGAACAAACTAAAGCACAACGAGTCCCGCGACTAACACCTATTTCTGTCAGGCGTTTGGCACAGTTTTCCGTGCAAGCACGTAATTCAGTGTAACTCCATTGTTTCCCACTTTCGACGTCCACCTGCATTCAAACTTTCTAGTGCATTGCAAACAAAGTTATTTTCTTGAAATAATTCAAATTTATTAGAAACAGCTTTGTTTCATGCACTTGAAAAAGTATTAAGCTATTATTTAAAATTGTTTCACAATCACTTATTCTAAAGTCAAGCGTAAATATTTTATTTATCACATTATTATTTGCAGAAAAAAAGATAATTATGAGATCATTTTAAGAAATTATATTTATTAAAAGCATGAGAAAGTTACCATTGCTAAGCGGTTGCCATATTTGGCAAACTTATCAAAAAAATACTCAGCAAAATCATCGAATTTAGTTATTTGCAATGGAATTTGAAATGGACACTGCACTTCCATTTGAAAACTTTTCAGAAAGGCTCTATCGCTGAAAACAATGCACTGTTTATATAAGGAACTCGTAATACTAATCTAATGATAATGTAAAATTCAAGTTAGATATAAAACCACGTGCGATGAAATAGTCCAGTTTTGCTTTCATTATAAAACCACACACTTTTTTTTGACTTAAAAAAACATTAAAAATTACTCAGGTCTATTGTATAATTCTTACAATTTATGTTTAAGAAGCTAATAAATTTACATTCAATCAACTATCACAAATGACTTAGGAAGTGAAATAAAACGAAGAAGAAGAAAGCAGACCAATAAATTATCAATTGAGTGACTTCATCTTAAATTCAAGGCTTTCAGATATTTTTATCTTCCCTTACATACATGCGAAAGATAAAAATTTTTTCATATTAATTGTCTATGACAATGAAAATTTAATTTAAAAAAATGTGTGGTTGTGATGATAACTAATATATACTTCATGCATGCTTTCCAAATAAAACTTTAAAATTTTAATAACTTTTAATACTCGAACTGGTGTAAAATTTAACTTCTAAAGACAAAAATGAATTCTGCACGCCTCTGACATAATGTTTGATAATCGAACCACGAAATCATTCTCAAATTTGATCATTAAGTTTCAGTTAATTCAAGTCATTAATTATTTCATTGGTTCTATGTCATATTCTGAACTTCTTCAGCGATAAATTTATTATTTGTTAATTATATTCAACTAAAATCTGTCTGAACATTACTCAGGTCGAAATAGCAAGCTGCAGACAAATATTGAAAATACTCCAAAAAAGATGCCCCACTCATTAGAAATTTTTTGTAAAAATTTCATTTCATTGTTAATAAAAATGAAGATAATACGACTTACTAAGCAAACGAAATTACGTTTGGATCAGAAATTTAATAAATAAAAAGCTAATACGATGAGTTTTGAATCGTACCATAAAGCGTTTGTCAAAGTGATCAAATGCTTACTTTAAAAATCACTAAACTTTTTTTGCCTACAGTTGGCAAGAAATCGGTAAAAAGTTTTGGATAAGCTGAGGATAAATGGATGTCTTAATTCAGCTTAAAACAATCATTAACTTCTTCAATTTTAAAATTGGTTAAGCAATTTTCAGTAATTTCTAATAAATAATAATAGAAGGTTTTGAAGGAGAATAAAAAGCTGTTTGGGAGCATTCTAACAGAGTCATTTTTAATGATAATTTAAAATGCATTCAAAATACTGCATTTAAGATGTCTTGACAATTGAAGATATATTATTAGTGACTTTAAATTGATGAACGTTGGATGATAATACATAAATGTTTTCATGCATTTATTTCAGCTTTGCTTCGTCATATTTACATAAAATGTTAAAAGTGAATAATGTAAGTAAGAGCAGAAGAACAATATTTCCTTCAACAAGTTGACAATGAAAAGTGTATTCCTTTAATTCATCACAACCTTAAGAAAGCAAGCATCAGTGACTTCGTATTGCATCTTTTTCAACTGCACACTTATCGTCACCTCAACCACTTCAAAATACATTGCTTAGGACCACTTAATAACTTTGATAAAGCATGACTTGTATCGAATAATTTATACATTTAAAGATTACACATTATAATACAACCAGACGAAAGGAAAGTGAGTACCAAAGTGATCAAAAAAACTTTGGTGAATTTCATTGGAACCTGATATTATTCGTCCAAACTTTTACACAACAGCAGAAAGTTTTTTGTAACTTATTTTCCAAGTAATGTGTGTAGCTTGATCATTCAACAGTTAAATTATCCAGTTTCATTCGATTTTTCACGATAATCTCGTGAAAAACATCTTTTTCAAATCAAATCAAGTGCACTTTCAGAAATTACGGAAACAATCTGTCATTGCGATAGCTCAATAGATCAAACATGAGTTTCCTTTAGAAGTATAGGCACGATTATAGCTACTTCACCCGTTGTAGGCACCAAAAGACGATGAATATAATTTTCATTTCGCTGCGACATGCGAAAATACTTTCCACCAGGTTTATCATAATTTTTATTTTGCATTATATAACCATCTTTCTCCGTTATGTCACCAGGTAATATCTGAATTCACCTTTCATTACATATATATGTTAACTGTCATATTGATAACCGTAAATAAAAAACATTAGCATTAAAATATCCATGAGATGCTTGCAATTTTCCAGAAGAATTTAACTTCAAAACTAACCTTAATATTACTACTTTTTACTAAACGTTGCACTGTTGGACTCAAAGGTTCATATAAAATATTTTTTTGTTGATACTGTAAATCAGCTAATATATAGTCAACACCAAGTTCACGTGCTTGTTTTTGATTTAATACTGCTCCACGAACTTGAACTAATTTACCACCCGCTGTACGAATGACTTCAATACCAGTGTGCTTCAACAAATGCTCACCAGCTTGCAAGCCTCTAAAATGAGAATCGATCTATGTCGATATATTACAATAAATGTTGACTTTTCATGGAAAAGACTAGGATAAATATTTTAAATGGCTATTAAAATATACGTCATCACAGCTCCTTTTGCATCTTCCATTTTAGTGCCTAAATAATGAATTTTCCGGATATACTCCGTGCCGGCAAGGTCTATGCACATTGTAGCCCTAAAAAATCCATATCAATTCTTGTAACAACCAAAATTCTACATTAAATTAGTGCCTGATAAATTTATTAGTGCGATTTCTTCACTAGAATAACTGTTAAAAAGATCAGGAAACTTACAGAGCCAAGCCAAAGATGATATAAGCCATTGTGAAGAACATATATACTTGCTCAGTAGGCACTATGTCTCCAAATCCTGTTCAAATGACCATATTTTAACTCAACAACTAACTAACTTTGTTTTTTCCCGTATCATTGAAGAAAAATATTGGCAAATAAATCCAAGGCTTACCAACAGTGGCCATCGTAATGAAGCAAAAATAAAAAGCATCAAAATATTGCCATCCTTCCCACGCCCGAAATAACAATCCTCCAATTGCTGTGTAAGCAACTAATACAAATAGTACCATTACAACCGGAATACGCAATTCATCCTAAGGATACAATTGAAATACATAAGTGCTCTTGTTCACTTTTCTGAAGAAATTCTATCATGGTATTATTTGGTAAATTTAGATATCATCCAGGAGAATCAAGCAGAAGAATTTTATTCTTTAAAAGTTTCAAGTATTATATGTTATTTAATCAGTTACGTCTCTATAAATATATTTGAAAAAACATTTAAGAGATGGGGAAATTTTTTTAGAATGCTGAAATACATTGTTAGTTATCAATCAGTCAAGTTTTTACAGATAAAAATTCAAATAAGTCGAATTATAATTTGTGAACAAATAGGCGATTATTTTTTTAGTTTTTCTATTCTCACTATAAAAATTTGTGTTTTGGTGATTCCAATGTTCTTAGCACTGAGCTAATTTATTTCAACTACTTCCAATTAATTTCGATTTCAGTCAAGAATTTCTAAAAACTTCACTTCCTTCTCAAACATCATGCCGATTTGCATTTGTAAATAGAAGTTTGCAAAGTGTGTTAATAAATTTCAGTCTCAAATTAAACACGAAGAATACAATGAAAAGACCTCACAACTGGATTCTGAATCAATATCGATGCTGTTTAAATTCATGCTTCCAGCTTTCGTCGATTCTAAACTACTTCGAGCAGACGAGCTATGTTCTCGGTAGTGATGTGAAATGCGTCGTGACTGTCGTCGCACCTTTTAAATTATAGGAGCTTTAAGAATAGCACAAAAACTTTAGAATTTTTTCCTCAATTACGTCAAAGAATCGTAAAAAATGAAAGCTTGAAAAAAATTTCATGAAACTTCAAAGAGCTTTCTAACCTTTCGTTTAAACGTTCGATAGGTTCGATAAAGAAAGCTCAAAAAATCTGACAAAAATTTGCCTATATCCGCTATGGTCACCAAGAGTAATGGGATACCAAACAAGGCAAAACATATACATGCGATACGGCCAAACTGTGTTGCTGGCACCAAATTACCGTATCCTTAAGGTTCAAAACTAGTGCTTAGATTGTAAGAAATACCAAAAATGCCACAAATAATTTAAAATTTGCACGTAAAATCAAAAATAAAAATAATAATTAAGCTATCGTAACTTTTCAAATCTATTAAATGTTAACAGATTCTCCAATCTTTCCCTTTCACCTTTTTTATTTGAATTTGACTTCACAAACTAATAACCATTAGAAATTTCGATTCAAAGACGAAATTTATGTCGGACAATAAGTGAGCTACCTATAGTGGTAATAACAGTAGTCGCAAAAAAAATGCTATTCGCATAAGTCCACAACATTGCATCACCGTTTGTTCTATTTAATAAATGATTTTCATTTACAAATTGATTTCGATATGCTTCAAACATGGCAAGAACCAATGATTCGAAATACTGTTGTCCGACCAGATCAAATGATTCTCTTGTTAACAAGTTATCACCAGAAACTGTTAGATTCCAAACCATATCATGGAAATTTTTCCGCAAGCCGAAAATTTCACGCAATTCACGATCACGAGTCTATAGTTTTAGGTAATCAGTAATCTAATAAAACAAAATGAGCCAAATTATTCTGAGAATGACCTTACTTTTAGAATCAGAATGCAACTGGCGACAGAATTTCTAAACTGCATAGTACGAATTGGTGAATTCATTACAAGGCTAAGCATTTTTACTACTATGCTTGATGATTAAGTTAGAATCTAACAAAAAAACAATGTTTGAATTAATACTGACTTCGATTTCATTTGGGCCTTCCAAATAGTGAAACGCTGTAGCACCTATCAGAAGATAAACAACAAGTAGCATAACAAGACCCACATGAGGTAGGATCATTCGAGCGTACTAAAGTATCGTAACTCTTATCAATCGAAATTTCCAAAAATAATGTGTAGAAAAGCCGAACTGACATAGCTGCTTGATTTAAAGATTGGAAATAAGTACGTTACTGAAAGTATATATTGAGATGGATCGAGCTTCGCAAACTGCTCGATATTTCCTTAACGTAAAATTATTTTCAACTAAAAAAATTAATTTTGTTCAAGAAGTACGAAGGATATTGCAATAGGATTTACCATAATGGTTTTAGCCTGCACATCGATGTTTTCAGTGGCAGAATCGTCATCCGACAATGGTGGTCCAGCTGTTGTAAGATCCATCTCCATAGGTATTTCGTCTCCATTCGTGCTGTTTTCAGATTCCGACCTCTGTAACAGTTATCAAGAACTAATAAGGACTTCAGCAGGATTATAAATTATTGATAAAAAAATTTTAGACCAGCGAAATGCTTTACAATAAGTGAAGAATTAAAGTGCTGAAAAGACTCATCCTAAGTGAAAAATACTCGTACTGAAAAAATGCGTACATGTGTGGAAGAAAATATTACTCAGTAATAATGGATCCGAAATCATTAAATGTTGAATCTAGAGCAAGGAATTTTTGCTTAGTAAATAATGAATACAATAGTGAAACAAGTCGCAAAGAGGCAAGATATTACAGATTAATAAAATAACAAGTAATGGGTTGACTGACTTACAAGATCGAAACCATTATTTTGCATGAAAATCGAATCACTTCTCATACCGATGAAAGTAGTTTAGCATGAAAGGATTTTTATCACACTCGATAGACGTAATTGAGACAGAACATAATATGCCACCAATCTTCTTTCCAGCAGCTGTCCAGAACTCCTTCACCAAGCATAAAACATTACTACAGCCAGCAAAGAATGGCTTGCTAATGTTTTCCTGCTTATATCAGTGCAACAACTTCAATGCACCTGCTTCTTTCCACCCTAAATCTATTTCAACCACTTTTACTTTACTCACGACTCCCAACTGCCTACCAGTTATCATTCACATCGCATTACAGCAGCAGTGACCATACTTAGTAACCTCTCTACCCTAATTAAACTTTATTATTAACCAACTCTAGCACACTAAGTGTCATCACTCAATTCTTCTTGTATGGCTAATTCTATCCATTATACTCTATCTGCTCATATGTCCAAATTTCAATTGTAATTTATAAAGCCATTCCTTATATCTTGCGGAACTTACTCTTTTTCGAATTGTGACATATACTCTAATTAAATTTCGTTTTATTAAAGATCAATAATTAAGAAAATGATATAAATTTAATTCTCACTTCAGAATTAATCAGGAATGCATATTATGTTATTACAACAAAAAAGTTCGTGATTATTTGTAGGATTTTCACACAGGTGACAGTCTTTTCATCATTTGGAGCACTAATCGTTCTCTTTTGAAAAATCTTATTATTTGATTATACCTTATAGAGCACAACAACGAACGAGAGCAAGCAACAACTTGTTTTTGACACTTCTGGAATTACAGCACCACAATACAATGACAAGACGATGAATAAAATATTAAAAAAACATAGTCTACTATTATAAAAGGAACCGTACTCAAATACAAACAAAAAAATGTATTTTTTGTCCTATAAACATTGTCCATTGTTTATAGCAACATATTATGACAGATTGAACCAGTTTTTTTTTGGTGAAAAGGATGAGATATGGAGTCGCAATACATATATGGAACGACAGACTACAACACAGTTCGAAGATGGAAAGTAGAAAGCTAACATAAAAGGTAATAAAATAATGAAATTATATAAATAAATATGAAAGAGCTAAAAGAACATGACTAAGTTAAACTTGGTAAGTAATCGGTCAATGTAAACATTTTCTTTCTCCACAGATTTTCATTCACTATTTTGTCTCAAAGAGATTGTGGAGACTAACATCTTGTTTCATAGAGTCCTGATCTACCTATATAGCGCACCCACTTAATAACATCATGATCCGAATAATTCAACTTGGGCTCGAATACTTTCAAATATCTTACTTTCAAACCTGATGGAGCAAAAGGTACCTAAAATAGAAATTGTTTGCTTTCACCATCATTAACAAGCAACTAAGATAAGTCCATTATTCATTACAAAATGAATTTAATAGATTACCTCAAAATTCATTGATACTGGCGGACGATTCCATTTTTTCTTTTCAGCACTGCCTGTGCTCAAAATATCAATTTCAGCAGAAATTTGAGATTCTTTTAGACCACCCATACGCTTGATCCTGAAATTGACATAGATTTAATACATTAAAGACTAATAAATTCCTTTTTAAATTAATAAAGAGAATACAAGAAAAATGAATACATACCACTTTTAACACTAAAAAATGATGCAAATCAAAATCTTATCAAAATTAATCATATTACGAATCGCGTTGAAAATTTTAATTAATACCCATAACAAGTAGATAGCACAAATGACATCAGATTTTGGTGTGATCAAAATTTTAATTTCACTTCAAAAATCCAACAAAATGAACTTCATATCTATATAATTAATCCCATCAACCCCAAAATAAATTATATATTTTGATCTATTAATGATTTATTTGAGGAATGCTATTTATTACGTGCAAAACACAATGTTTCTTAATCAAGAAACTAATAGTTCATGTGCGCGACGAACTGAGCAAAGTTCTATCACAGAATGTAGGATGACTAATCCTCGGCAGACAGAAATTTAGAAAACGCACAGACAGATCACCTTTAGATAAATTCGAATAACAAAACTTAATATACTCAATTTTAAATGCGTTAAATTTTAATAATACACTCACTTCCAAACAATTGCATTTTCACCAGCTTTATATTTCGCCTTGCCTTTCATGCACATCAACTGCACACCACTTGTGTTTGGAGGCGTAGGTATACGGACTTCAATTTTTTGAGCAAGAAGTGTTGGCTTGAAATTTGATTTGACAACAACTTTCACCTGTAAAATACTGTGAAATAAGAAAAATTGTTTAACATTACCACATACTAAAGAGTGAACATAAAACATTTTTAAAATATTTCAAGCAGCAAACACAAAAATATAATAGAATCAAGAATATTTTCAACACTAAGAAATCAGTGCGAAATGAACTGGTTCGAACACATTAAAATACGTTCCTTGTGGGAAACTAAAGTCTATATTAATCAATTTACGATTGATTAATCGTAATCCCACAGCCTCAGCAATTACCAAAAAAAAATCTAATGTTCCACATCTAGCACAAACGTACCTCCATCTTATTTCTTGATGTTTCTCGAACTAAAGGGATAACCCGAAATGGAAGTTGTATATCTTTTGTTGTGCGATATCTAAAAATACATCTACATGAAACTAATAGCTGACCGTAACTGAAAAAACTACTCAATATAAGTACGAAAATAACGTACCTCATAAGTTCATATTCTCCATCTGGAGGAATAAAACTTATAGCATGTTCGGTATCAAATTTAGTCAATTTAACACACTGATGGAACTGGCAGTCGTCAATAGCCACAGATGTTCGCGTACTATAATTTGAAAAAAAAATATTTTCTAAAAAGTTTGGAAAGTCATAAATTATTGAAGTTTTGTGGTGAAACGAACGACTTGGTTGGATCATCACTACCAGCGCGTCCTTTTCCTTCGATGGTAAGTTTGTCATTGATTCCAAATTTGCATTCTGGCATTCCAGACAAATATGACTTCATTGCAACTTTTCCAGCAACATGCGCGGATAAAACCTGACCTAATAAATTTCTATACTTATGAAAGAAAAAAAAATACAACACTTCTATAGCAAAACAAGATTTATTCTTGAGAACTCTAGTAACCCCAACAACCTTGCTGAGACATCAACAAATTGACATATTCGATAACATCCAGAAATAACTCATTACGACGATATTTAATGCCTTCACGACGCCATCCTATTTGTCCTGTCACCTGGGAAGTGATTTGTGCTTGTTCCTCTTTACTCTGCAACAACAAATTTCCCACTCTTAGAAAACACCAGTTATTTTTAACATAACTTCATGCAGGAGTTTGCTACACATATTTACATACAACAAAAAGATATACGGTCCAAAATACCAAAGAAGCAATAGATAGGAAAATCAAACAATAAACACATCTGATTTACTTTCACACCACGTGATATTGCTTAAAAAACTTACCACTGGTGCCTAAGTATGCAATATATAATTAGTTTCCTGATGCCAATCATGAGATTAATATTTTACCGCATAAATAAGTCAAGAAAAAGTCAACAAAGATTAGCAAAAACAAAAAAGTGGGAAGAAATCAAACATACGGCTGTTCTAACGCCTTGTTGTGTAATAAAAGTTTTTAAGACCCCGGGATCCGTGTTCTGTGGGTAACCAAAGTCAAGGATTTCTGCAAAAATCATGCTGCAACAACTTTTAACATAACGGACCTCATTAAATGAAAGACTAACTTAATTCCACATTAAAACTTTATCATTTTCTAGAGATTAGAAATGACAAATGACAGATAAATCAAAATCATTAATATCTCAAAAAAAAATCAAACTAACACTCTGCTAGCACCTAAGTAAAACATACCATCTAGCAATTCGTAAATGAGGACAAAGTTATTCTTAACATTCTCTTCATTCAACTTTCCAAAGTATGACTGCATTGTATCCGCAAATCTTCAAATAATTAAAGCTATTTTTTCCAACGAAATGCCTTCAAAATATCAGTAAATAACTTACCTATTTAAAAACTCAAAAACCATTGCAGCATTAACATTCTGTCGCGTTACTGCACAGATCCAAACATTCCCTCGTTTTATATGAAAAAACGATGTTCTAGCCATATTGGTGACTGGACTGCGTACCTAAATAAATTTTTATTTTCAGAAATCGACTTTTGAATAAAGTTGTGAGTAAAACACAGTAAACCATTTTTAAATTTGTTTGGTTCTATATACACTTCATTATTATGCATAAGGATACGTGAACCTAGAAAACTAATAAAATTGAATATTGCTACCCAAAAACAATAAGTTTTAGCATTTACTGAATCAAGTATACCTGTTGTCGGGCATGAATAATATTGACACGAAAAGCATCCACTGCATTTCTACTGAAATAACAAAACAGGTAAGATCTTAAAATTGTAGTTTTCCACAACATTAATTATATATCACTTCACCTTTTTCGTTTAAAAGATCAAATGGCTATTTATACAAGTACGATATAAAACTACAAAATAAAATCATTCTCATAATGTCTTTTTCAAATATTTCCATTTACTAGCAAACAATAATTTCGAAGTAGATAACGAAATTCACTTAGTCTTTCCGTAAATTAAATGCTAGATTTTGAAGTTCTTTTCCGAATACGTTTTCGAAAATGTATTCACCTCACATCGTCACGATAAATACGTGAAATTAGCACTTCACCCTTATGATTGTAGACAAATAATCCACCAATCATTTTCGATATGCAGGAAAAATTGCAGATTATGCTTCAAAATCAATATATTCAAGCTCTCCTGTAGTATTACAAGAAAAGTAATAAGGACACTTCTACTCAAACTTAAGAAGCACCATACTTCCATATATAATTACACTCTTCATAATGGTAATCTCTAAATCACAAAACGTTCTTCCAATTCACTCGTATAAAATTAGGAAAATTTACCATTTTCCATCTTCTCCACAATATGATAAAAGGAAGTTTTGAAAGCAAGAATTAGAGAAGCATTTTTTGCTTGAACTTAGAAAAAATGGATATTTTGAGAAGGCATTCAGCCTTTTTTATTCAGAAAATTAGAAACAAAGCAAAAGAAATCGGATAGAAGGAAAAACTAAAAGCAACTGAAATTTGATGCACCTGCAAGCAGTTTTCCGGTACAAACAAAAAGAAAAGTGATTGCTTAGATTCGAGGATAAATTAAGCAAACTCAGTCCATGACTGTGACTTGCAATATATAATGCTTAGTATGATGCTTTATAATCAATCGGTGGACACAAATGAAAAGGTTTATTGACATCTCTTCCACCTTAAGAACAAAAGATAATCATGAAAAATACCTTTACCATGGTAGCTATCATTAATACCACCAATTACAACATACTTAGAACCTAAAAATGCTGAATACTACTTCAACATACTCACTTTACACCTACTTTCTAAGAACAGATATTTATCAAAGTCCACTTTTTGGCCATTTGTCCCTGAACCGCCCACTTCTATAATTAGAAATTTCTACAAATGAACATCGTGGAGATAATTAGTTGGTTGCGTAATAATATGGACCGTAATAGTGTAATTGTTGATGAAATGAAATCAGAGATGAGTACAGTGCTATGAGGAAAGACGAAATATGTCTTGAATGGTTCTGAAATCTACTCGCACATTTGGAAGGAGTAAACGTTGTAGATTTGTTCTACACAACGGAAATGTTGCAAAGAAAAGTTATGAAAGTTTCAGAACTCTGTGTGCATGACATATCATTGCTCTCTGAAAGTTTGCTTGACAAAACGTGTCATAATCCATTCCCAAAATGTGACATGCTACTCTCTCCTGTACTATTTTAGGCCTTACAAATACACTCAATCATTCACTTATATGCAATTCTTCCCAATTATTACATTAAAGTACGAAAAACTCATGTGTTTTTTTGAATCAGATGTAACAAGTAATGATTGATATCAGCTCAAGGCATTCAAAAACAAAACGATCGTGAATGTGGGTTGAGTTGGCTCCAAAATTTTGATCTTACACTTGATAACTTTAGTTTCTACTTGGAACAAGAAGATTAATAATGAATACAGAACGTGCGCAATCAACAGCGCGCCACTTCATTGCATCTTTTCTGAGTATTATGGAGAAAATTAGTGATGCCATAGTCTGAGATTTCCTACTGAGATCACATATTTAAGGCATATCACACTACTTATCCATTAATTCTGTCTCATTCATAACAAAGCTGCGACAGTGCATTGCATTAATTTTGATAGAGTTGGCGAAAAAATTAAGCGTGCGAATAATTATTACTGTTTAATATAAACAGCAAATTATTCTGTTAATACTTGAGTAAATATATGTTATTGACTATTTTTTTATCTTGTAAAACAGGTACTTCTGAATAAGAGAGCATTGTTTTAGGTGTGATTTGCTAATTTCTGATCAAAAAATATTTTTTGAGCTTGCAAGTCATCCCTTATACTTACAGGTGATGGGTGAAAGAAGCGAAACTGAAAAGTCTATCAGTGATGAAGTTAAAAAATCAATAAAGAGAAGTGAGAAATCGGAAGATTTATCCTATCCTGTATTTCTTGAACAACCTATTGTATGTGATGGAACTTGTGAGCTATGTCAGGAATTGTCTGAATTGAGAAATTCTGAAGAGCCAATTCTATCAGAACATGAAGGTATTCACTTGAGTGAATACATTAAAATTTGCATTTTGTCTTGTTAAGTAGAAATACTATTACATATTTGTTTTGAAATAATAAGATTCTTGATATCTCATTAGCAGAGAAAGTTCACTGCTAACTTGAAAAATTTTTCCTATGTGGTTGACTGATACTTTTTTCAGGTTATAGTAATTGTAGGTTTTAGTGAAAAACAGTAATTGCTAAACTTTCCATGGAGTATGTAAAATTACTGTTTAATATAATCATACCAATTTCTAGTAGATGAAGAAGATATAGAAGTGAAGTCAGCTCGAACAGTAGCTTTCAAATGCTGTCTTTTTGCTGAAGAAATGGCTCGTTTCGAAAACTGGGGAGCAGCATATCAGTACTATTTGCGTGGTTGTAAGATTCTAAAGATGCATGGAGATGCCGGAAACTCATTTGCATTTGATATGCCCGACTTCAGAGTTTACATCTACCGCTGTATTCTCTGCTTATATCAGCATTTTATGCAAAACGAAAATTCGGTTCCATCTTTATTAAAAATTGCATGCGCAAATTGTTTTAAGTGTTTTATTTTTGTTTTATAGTTTAGTCAGTCACTGCTTTTAATTTAGTTATACAAAGAAATTTGAGCATTAAAAAAATTTGCACGATAATGAAGTCAGTAGATGTTTCATTTTTATGTAATGAAGTAAAACAACTTCTTCCATATTTATGGAAGACTATCTAAAGTATGCTAATTTGAAGAATGATATTTTCCTGCTTAATACTTACAGAATTCCTTAAAGTTGGCTATAGATATTGTTTGTTCAATGTCAAACATAGATCATATTCATCCAGTATGGCAAGAACTTATGGGTCTTCTTTTGTACGAATATCAAAAATACTATTGTGGAGCTGTTAAAAGTCAAGCGTTACTTCTTGTCACTTTTGTTATTTCTTAAACTGAAGTATGCCGGTCTTTAAAATGAAAAATGCTCTTTTCTGCTCGACATATGTTTGCAAGCAATTAGTTTGAAGTAATCTTCAGGCTTTTTGGCATTTGTCTTTATTGGTGGATTTCGGCCAAATAATTTGAAACCTTTTCACTCACAAATCTTTGCTGACTGCTGCTTCAAAATGTTCGAACAGCAAGATAAAAGTTATGAGAAGGTGATTCCTGTTTTAGTTTCAACTGCTTTTATGGAATGGACTGTAAATTTTCGCAAAGTCAATTGATTAACTTGTACATTATTACTAATTACAATAAATCTTATTATCATAACTTAATTGAAGGCGCGATTGGAATTAATGGTGCTTATATGTTACCACATAAAGCAATAAATACGTGAAATCATGGCAATATGGATCATGCTAACTGCTTTGATTACCTCTTTTTTAATTCTGCTATTAAAAATTTGATTTTGATAAATCACCGAATGATCTCTTTCAAGGTTGATAAAAATCCATTTATAACGTCAGACTGGATAAATTTATGGGCGATATGTCCATCTGATGACGTAATACTTGAAGATTTCATGTCTGTCTACTTAGAATCAAATAAGCCAGGTGGTGTATGTTCCATCATTGCAAGGTTCCATTTTGTATAACTGTTCTAAACTGACGACCTAAGTGTTGCAATTGATCACTTATAGTTGTTGATCAGTGTCAAATTAGATTTGAATCGATCATAGATCATATCATATCTTGAACTTTTATAATCAAGAATGTATAAGATGCATTTAAGCAAAATTCAAATTCTGAATATTGTTTGTGATTTTTATACTAGGCATGTTTAGCACTCATCAGTTTAGTTTATTATTCGAGAGTAGAGAAGTGTTTGTTGATTGAAAATGGATATGAAGTTAATGTTTGAATATTAAATGCAATAATAATTACTCAAAACATGAAATGAAGATGACTATGAGGGAATCAATTCATCACACTTTTACCTTGTGTGTATTCTGATTTCCAAGAGTTTATTTTAGTGAATATCGGAAAGCTCTGGAAGCAATGGCTGTCGGTTGCCACAGCACTGTAATTACGACGCTAAAAGATGCACATGAAATAAAAAAAAGACCATATCGGGCGGAAGCGTATCTTCTAGAAGCGCTGATCTATTCACAAATATCCGATGCCGAAGTGAATCATGACATTTTATATAGATATATAAGTGATCCTGAATATAGAAAAAAAATATTTAAAACAGTGTTTAATCTTTCGTGAATTCTTTCAAAGCAGTGTTCAATACTTTCAGTGACTGGTATTTTGAAAGAATTCGGAAAGATTGTATATGAGATGATAAGAGAATCATCTTATATGAATATCGTATTTATTGGTAATCTGTGACTTTCCATAAATTAAGAAGAAATTGAAAAATCGCTGTTGAGATTCAAAAATCATATCTAATTTCTTCGCTGCTACTACCAGTTTTAATCTTAGGTTATCGACTGCTTAGATAAATTCGTTATTTACTGGGAATTTGATCAATATCATGTATCAACGTCTCGACGAAAAAAAATATTCATGCGATATCTGAGTTTAGCACGTTCAATACGCAAGGATCCTTTTTAGTAAGCCTTATTCCAGCTTTCGAATTAAAACTCCATATTTATTGACTGTTAATCAAATTCAATTTTAATTGCAACTAATTTTTCAGATACCAAATAGCAAACTCTACTTTTTCGCAATTTTGTTTGAAAAAGCTTTTTTTTTCTTCATATAATGAATAAAAAATGTTCCTAGCATGTTGGACGTATCAATGTTCTGCCCACGAGATACCGCACGATTCTACATGCAAATTGCTCTGACAATAATTTTACGTTTGCAAACGTTGCAAAACAAAATTGACTCATCTGAATATATGCAGAGGACATTACTCAGACTTAAAAACATTGAAAAGCTATGTGAATTAGCACTTGAAGCGGACAAAGACTATTTATTTGCCAGGTAAATTGAAATTGAGTCATAATGGAAGCACTGAGCAACAAGTTTGCACCCTCTAGACGGAAAGAAATACGATGTTTCGGAATTTCTCAACCTAAATATTAATCTTTTATTTCTATACAATCATTTGACTAGAGTTTTATTTTCACAGGGGTGCAAACTTGTTGCTCATGTTCACTGATTGCAGAAACTACTGAATTTGGGTTACTTGGGATTTAAAAAAAAGAAATTAAGACTGTAGTTTTATAAAATTCATGAAGTCTAGTGGAAAAAATAGAGAAATATTAGCATTATCGTAAGATATTTGTTCTTGCAAATAACACTGAGTGAGACACTTACATATTATTTGTAATGGTGTAAATTAGAGGTATATTAAAACTTAAGTTAAATCTTGTGCAGTAATATGAGTCTATCAAAGTAATTAATATTTTTACGAACAAGTTTTGATGCATATTTAAAAGTATTACCTCCATGATAATTTTGCCATTTTAATTAGTACTTGAAATTGTTTCTACGATATAAAGTATCTCAGAAGCATGTGAGTATGAGTTAGCAGTATGTGAAAAATTCTCGAGTAAAGTCAAGTAAAGACTTGAACTTTGCTTAGCTTGCTGAAAGCTTATACAGCAGTTGAAATCGAAGCAGCAGAAGCAATGATGAGAAAAAGTGGCTGGGCCATGTTGAGACTAAAAGAATGCATAAACGAAATTGATGTCAGCAATCAGTGTCAAAAGGAACATCGCATTTTCGCCCAGTGGTGTCTTTGTTCGGTGAATTTTTCTCTATAAATCGCATTTCAATGGTAGTGAATTGAACATCTGCAAAAGTAGTAGCATTTAGAGCTAATACAGTAGCTATCTTTGTTATTTTAACTACAAAACATTTGAGCATATTTGGTATTACTTGAGAAAGCTCATTGCTGTCATGTAAATTTTTAGGCATATTACGTTATCGGTCGATTAGATAAAGTTGTTATTCATGGGCGAAAACTAGGAAAATATTTGATTTTTCCAGGTTTTATCTCATCATTGCTCATGTAAGCTTTTTTGAAATTATTTTATTTGAGTTATTTAGAGGATCGAATATTCAGATTAATTTATAAATATTATAGTGAGTTAGAATTTGAGAAGCAGTCACGAAAATGCAATAGCAAACTAAATGATTTGGAAGAAAGAATTAATGAGCTTCTAAAACGCGATCCAGAGAATTTCCGTTTGCACTTAATTTTAACTGAATATCATTTGCAAAGGTATGTTTAAGTCAGAAATTTTTATTACATACCAATATGCATACTTTATTAATTCATTTTTGTATTTCTGAGTTAAAGATTTTCCTAATTCTCAACATTTGATCTGTAATTGAACAACTTATTTAAGCAATTTTAAAGCTGTATAATTGTACTTTCGTCAAAAAGTTTTTCCTTGATAATAATCAATGATTATTGCTTATTATAATATTTTAGAATGAATTTGCAAAAGGCAGTAGAAAGTGGTAATAATGTGCTAAAATTTTGGCCTGATCACCTTACAAGACTTGTTCCACGACTTTTACGTAACATACTCATGATTAATTGCGTGAATGAAGCTGTAGCTTATGCATCAAAAGTTTCTGGAAGTAATATTAACAATTTTTTCAAATTAAACTCTTCTCAGTCTCATTATGTACTTAATTTATGATAAAAGTAATGAAAGCATTAAAATTTTTCTTTTCAGGTTCTTTCACTCAATATTCGCAAATAAATGGCAGATCAAAGAAGCTCTAGACCAGATTTTAATGAGTTTAAAAGATCCCAGTTTTATAATTAGATGGTTTTTTTTATTTAGCCAAAAAGTTGCAAATTTTATTGTATAGATCTTTTCAATTTTATAATTACAGTTGTCATTGTATTAATATTTTTCCCATGTAGCGAATGCATGTTGAAGACAATAAAGCAGTTAAATGAGTGTCAATGGACCAAACTATAGATATTGAAAATCTGCAAATAAAAAATGGTATTTTGGTCTGTATAATACAGACATAAATATTTTTTCGATTTACTCAAAAGTGAAAGAAATAGGTTATAAAGAAAGACTGATGAGGTTGGAAAGGGGGTGGTGGAAAGTAGTGATGAATACATTTTGTGGATGAATAATTTCAATTTAAATTAGTAGAAAAACATTGTTAAATGAGGATTGGTCACTATCGATTAATTTCGGGATGAAGTTTGCTTTACAGTGACCATGGAAATTTAAGAATTTTGAGTAGTGTTTATTGATGAGTTTAAAAAAAATTCGTCAAGTACGCGCAAATTTGAACTGAATTTTCATGGATTGAATTTATTACATTATTTAGAATGCACTTGTTAATTATTCCGAGACAGACCGCTCGTTCAATTTAACTCATAATTTTTGCGAATAATATCTGAAATGAAAAAACGCGTTGAATTTTTTTTATTTTCTAGTTATAAAACTGTGGTAGTTGTCGGGTAGCCAAGTGTCCGTGACCATCGAAAGTCCATTTTTGCTCTTGTGAATGGACTTTTGACGGTTATAGTTTCCTTAGAAGATTCTGAGCAGAAAAAGCTGTAGTGTTATGTTGGCAATGCATGGACTAAAATATTTCTCTAGCTGAAGTGTGCATATAATGTTCTCCCAAATTGCGTAAATTATTTGGCATTTTAACATATGAAGTTTACTTTTGTATTAAGAATATGCTGAAAGCTTAATATAAATAATAAGAGATTCATATACTTTGATTTGTTTTTATTTATCGTATGAACTAATACGGATATATGTTGCAGGAAAAAACTTTTTTCCTATATTATGGTTTTAGCATGTAAGCAGAACAGTTAAATTCTAAAATTATTTATACCATTACTTTTTGTTTTTTGTTTGATACCCTTCACTTTCAATACACAAAAAATTTTTTTCGTGCCGAGCTGAAATATTGAGAAGACAAAGTAGCATGCGATTGCTAAATGTTAATGAATAGTAAATGAATTCCAATCTTCTTTGGGTAATATTTTGCTTTTACTCTACCAATTCAATATTTTACTCTAAGCAAAATATTACCCAAAGAAGATTGGAATTCCAATTTTTTTAAATATGGAACATTACCTGCCGTCTAAGGGTATTCTTTCTCCCAGTTTGTGTGATATTTCTAATCATGATAAGGATGCAGAAATCCAGGTATCCTGGTATTCAGATTTCTTAGATATTTCAGTTTTTGCGCATTTTTTATTCATTCTTTATTTAACGCTAATTGATAACTTAGAAAAGACAAATGAATAATTAGTTTATCAATTTTTGGTACTTATAAGACCTTACAAGGCATAAACAAAATAAAGTAAAATTAATCAATTATTTAGTGTGATTTGTTAACAGAAAATGAAGAGATGGATATTGACCCCAGGCGTTTGCCTTATAACAAACGGCTTAAATGGCACATTAAGGAATTTTGTTATAAAACATCTATTCATGGTGTACCGATGCTCGAACAAGCACCAAATACCTTATACAAGTTGATTAATCTCAAGTTGCAACTTAACAATTGTCTACTGCTTGAGAATTTGCAAATTTGCTGATCTTTTTTGTCATTTAACGTAATAGTAATCATTAAAATTTGCTTACATTAGTAGTCAGTCATAAATCAGTATATCTCATCAGTAATTTGATGTAATTGCTAACAGGTATGTTTGGGTTGCTTTACTCATTGGCTGCGCTTGCATGTTTTTGATGCAAGCGATTAGCGTAGTAGCCAAATACAAGCGGAACGAAAAAATAACGAATATTGAATTGGTATTTGAAACAGGTAAAACTTTTGCAGTTGGTAGTGATTGTTTGGTAACAAGAATTTATTTCATACGTACATTATTTTTGATGCTAAAAACAAACTTGAAACATTAACACTAACGTATTGATTACTTACCTAATGCTTCTTCTAGCACAGTTTCCTGCGATTACAATTTGCAACTTAAACCCATATCGCAATAGTATGATACGAGATGTGGAAGCAATCAAAATTATCGTAATAAATTTTAACTAACTTTTTATTTTCAGAAAATTAATTTAAAATATTGACTTTATGTAAAAAAGACTCTAAAGTAAAAATGCTTTTGAAAATTTTCAGAAATGCTTCTAAAAATTATAGCATTAATTTTGATGATTCTGGCAATTGAAGCTTACAGTAAGTATAATGTGGTCGAAATAAAATGCATTTAAATAAATTTTACATCAATTCATCACAGTTACTAATTTCATTCTAACATAAATGCAATTCAACTTTGAACAACCACTCTTTGCATAGCAAAAAAATATCTATGACATCATTATTTACGGAATTTTATTATAAAATATTGTTGATCGTATCTTTTTATAAAAGCATAAAATCTGACATTCTAGATAGAATGAGAATTTAATTAAAAAGTAACTTGTGCTTGACGTGATAAAAGGATTAAAAACCAAAAAAAACTGGATCAAAGTGAGAAAAAATTTACATATAATGACTAAAGAGGATTTGCAAAGTCAACAAAATAGACATTCAAAACACTACGACTAAAAATTTCAATTTTTGGAAACAAAGAATGGCTATTATTACTTATTCAATCACAAACGTCAAAACGCAGGTTTTTGCTTTAGCTTGAAATTTTTGCCGAAATGATGGATAAAAGAGATTTAATAAGTAGTCATGGTCATCAAAAGCGTCAACGACGTCAAAAAACAACCAGTTATGGCATAGTAAGGTTTATTTGCGTGTGTTGTCAAATAACATTTCTTTATTGTTTTAATTTATTATAAAATTTTTGTAAATTTAGATGTAAATTTGAGAAAAAAGATGAAATCATGGATTAATCTCACAGTGTTAAATGTTTTAAAACTCTTCTAAATTTTCATGAAGAAGAAAAAATACTTTGTAAGAAATAAAAACAGTGACAATCACGGCAAAAATTTATAATGCATAGTTGGTTATAAAATTGTAGGACAGTGACATGAAAAGAATCAAGAGGATATTAGGATTTCAGGTATTTATTATTTTACTATACTGTGAGTAGAGTAGGGAAAACTAGTTAACAGTAAACTTTTGATGCAAGACGCTAGGCAGTAGAGTGAAGTGAGTAACTTCAAAACCCATACATTTGTTTTTCATAAATTAAATTGAAACAATTTTCAGAAATGCGATTTTGACTTTTTACTTACTGAACTTCTATGAAAAATGTGAAATGCACTCGTATCTGAATAACCTATGTCGTCACTTAGGAATTTCGAATAGTTGAACTTTATCTATGCTTTGATTAACTTTACTTTTCGAACAGCACATGAGCGACGAAGTTGCAATCATTACAAAAGCCCGAGAAAATATTATTTTTGCAATGTCCGAATTAACAACTGAGCGACGCATACAGTTATCTCATAACAAGCGAGAATTAATACACAAATGTTCCTTCAATGGAGCTGAATGCAACATTGACAAGTATGTATTCTACAGATTTCCTGAAGATGGTATATTCACGTACAATTCAAATTTGGAACCTCTTATAGTATAGATTAAAAATGCCATATGTTTGCTATGCCTATCAAAAAATAATATGGCTCTTGTATAAACACAGTTCATACAGTTTTTTGTGCTCTCAGAGATTTTCGCATTGTAAATGACCCACTCTTTGGCAACTGTTTCACTTTTAATTATAATCGTACTGAAAACAAAACGAATTCACGAGCTGGTCCAATGTACGGTAAGAATTTATCGTGTTTTTTCAAAATTTACAATGTAACCAAATCAAAATCATCAAATAACTTCTCAAACATTTTAAAACTTTTGCATTTATTTTATTGATATTCATTTCATTTTTGACCTTTTTTTTGCTAGGATTACGATTATTACTGTATGTGAATGCATCAGATTACTTACCTACAACTGAAGCTGTGGGAGTTCGGATCACAGTACACGATAAAGATGAGTATCCTTTTCCAGTAAGTCAATTCTTTTCTCTTAACTTTTATTTTTTCCTTTTTCATAATCATGCATGTATGTGGATTACAAAACACATGCATGGCTCATTAGTCGTATATTTATTTTAGACATATATTCACAGTGACTAATAAAGCATTTTGAAGTATTCAAATACTTTCGTGTAATAACCAAATCTGAAAAATTCAATTAAAAATTTATTTATCGAAAGTTACAGAAGAATTGGTATCTCATCACTTCTCACATGTTCTAAACATTAATTTCCATTATTGCATTATCTGTATGTGATGTAGTGCATAATTTTACAATAATAAAAATTGTTTTTAATCTTAAAAAGTGACCATTTTGCTACTTTTTGCTCGATGTTGAAAAATTTCAAAAAAAACACAACCTTAAAATTATTTAATATAAAGTTTCGGCTACCACATTCAGAATTTTTTCTACTGTTACATCAATAAATATTTGACATTAAGAAAATGATTTTATTCTGCAAAGTTGATAGTGTTAATTGTCAGAACTTTTTTATAAGTTTTCGTGGGATGAAAAGTACATTGACTTTTTATATAAAATTACATTTTGATGAACAGCAGACATGTGTTTTGATTTCAGGACACTTTTGGTTATAGCGCACCGACAGGTTACATATCTTCTTTTGGTATGAAAATGGTAAATTGATTTGATCATTTTGACAAGAAAATAATAAGTCTCTTATTATAGCAAAACTCTGCTTAAGTAATGGAAAGCTTCTCTTTATATATTATCCATTTTCAAGTAACCTATTATCCTAGTCGAAAAAATCTAAATTTGTTAATACATAAAGTGCATAAATAATTAACAAAATTTTTTAAACCTCTGACTATTTCCTTAAAGGTTATTCAATTACTCCAAATTACTTTAATTACTACACTTCCAAATTCCAATCATAGAAAAGGAAATTGAAAGTAACTAAATACGTATAAAAGAAGTACAATTCATTCATTTCATGCAAGTTCCCCCTCTTCAAATCTAATGTACTGTCAAAATTTGTATACCAAACTAATTTTTCTCAATTGAAAAATCTCACGAATTATGATTAATCATCAGTTGAGCGTGAACTACTGCAGAAAAAAATGAGTCGTCTTCCTTCTCCATTTGGTGATTGCATTCCAAATGAAGTGAACATTGGTACCATTTATGAAGGATATCGTTATTCTACTGAGCTAAGTTTAACTACTTTGTGAAATTGAGTTCAACAAATGCGCAACCTTTTGAAAAACCCTACTGTGCATGAAGCAAGATTTTTAGGGTTGTTATCACACATGCCTCCAAGAACTGATCATTCGAGAATGCGGATGTGCTGATCCACGTTTTCCAGCTCCAAGTGGATCAACTCACTGTTTAGTTTTCGATGAAGCAGCTCGTAAGATTTTTAAGTTCAATTAAACAGAAAAATGATTTCAACTCACAGTTATGTTTTCTCACGTTGTAATGTGATGTTTTTTATTTATTAATTTTGTTCTTCAGATAATCAGGTGATTGTTCTATACAGACGACAAAGTTCTTTTGATAAGTAAAAAAGAAACGTTTAAAAAGTCCAATTGCTATAAAAATTAAATCAAAATTTTTATCACTTAGCTGGGCTATTACAATGAATGACAATATACGGTTTCTAGTAAATGTTTTACTTATAAGATTTCAACTTAGAACTTCACTCCTAATTAGCAGTTTTTAGACCAATCATTACTGGATTAAATAATAATAACGTTAATGAGTTCAGGGAATGTAATATTTGTACAAATCAGTTAATTTTTAAGAATGATGACCTTTACAGGTAAGTGTATCCAAAGCAGTACTAATCTGCCAATTAACCTGCAGGATAGAGATCGGTGCCGTTGTGCACAACCGTGTACACAATTTCTCTATACAGTTTCTTATTCAGCAAGCATTTGGCCATCACATTCATTAAATGTACCTGTTGGGGAATGCAACGATTCACCCGAAGAATGCATCGAACAGTACCAGTAAGCCGAAAGTATTTTATCAAAAAAGAACTTTTTTGAAATTAACAGAAATAATTAAAGAGCAACACAAAAATAAAAACACTGGGTTTTAATTAGCAGCAAATGGTTAGTTAATGTAAGCAAAAATTTGGCAATATTCTTCGACAATAAACAATTTTTCTAGGGAAAATGGTGCAATGGTGGAGGTCTTTTTCGATGCTTTAAATTTTGAAGTATTCTCAGAATCAGAAGCATATGGTGTAAGTTGTTATTGTTTCTAAGAACAAGACGAAAAATGTCAAAAATTGAAGTTTCAAAGTTGCTCTAAATTGAAGTTCATGGTGTATTTTTTGTGCATTAAAAAGCAGAAATACTTTTAAGTTATTTCAAGCAAATTTGCTACACTGTAGAAATTAATGAAATTTTAGGTTGTTAAAATGTTATCTGATTTTGGTGGTCAGCTTGGTTTATGGTCAGGCGTTTCTTTCATTACACTTTGTGAATTTGTTTGTTTACTCATTGAAATACTTTATATGTTCGTGAATCATCAAATAAATGAATTAAATAAGAAGAATCGACCATATGATATCGAGGATGAATGACAGTGCTTTCAAAAAATACAGTGCTGCAATGTTTTAATTTTTTTCTTTTTTTTGAAATAATAATAATAATTCTGGAATGTTTTAGTTCTTTTTTTATTCGTTTCTCTGTAGCAATAATACTATGATTGAGACAGTGATCGGTGTTGTTTTGCAATGAATAGCACTAAATTAGGGATTATATTTATTGACTTTTCCAGACAGTATTTTACCAAAAATTTTTTAATACTTTTTGCACTGTAACGAAGTTCGCATTAGAAACAAATTTTATTACATCTATTTAACTAATTAGTAGGGAACGTAAGTGATATAAATTCAAGCAAAAGAAAAATTCTCATTGCTAAAACAATACATGCATAAAACAAATTTGCATCAAACTGATGAGGTGATGACTATAAGAATTTTTAAGATCCGCATAAAAGAATAATAATTTTCAATATAGATTTATTCAAATTACCTGCCAAAAATTTTCTGCAAAATGTTTTGATGATCAAAACTCTCCATTCTACTATATCTAACATTATCTTACATGAAGATATTTTTGCTATCATATGTTTACCTGTTACTGTAAAATCTCAAATTTCTCTCTGTACTTATATGGAAAAGATTTCGGTCATTTTTTATTTGTTTTGGAAGCTAGAGATAGAATAAAATAAAAGCAGTAGAAAACAATTCAACTGGCATGTAGTTGCAGTGTTCTATAACATTTCTTTCTTAAGTTTTCCAATTCTAGTTCAGTCTATTACGTGAATATTTTTATTTGATACGCTCAAATACTGAAAATTGTAACACATCTGAGAACAGAATTTTTGTAAAAGATGGATATTTCAGCAAGATTTTATTTATGATTAGATAAAGTTCATAAAGCAAAATGCAAAGGATGACAATATTTGTAAGAGCAGAAACAGAATAAAAGCACAGGAAAAGGGAAATGTAAATGATCGTTAATGTGAATTAATGGGACCAGTGTTTGATTGCAGAAAGTGATAGCGAGGAACGGAGGGTTACGACTGGCTTGCATCACTGTATCTATGGCATGCATCACGGTGTATTCACACACTCTACACCATTCCCGTTCAATTAAATTGCGATTTTACGTTACGCCTATTAAAACATTTTTCAAAGAACTTCTACTTGTGGTTTTTTATTGTCAGAATGAAATTACAAGAGAGAATTTCAACTCTAATTTGTAAATTTATTGAAAACTAAAATGTATTTGATTTGCTCATTTTTCTGTACTGTGAAAATTCATTATCAACTAGATTGTCGGCAACTCTTTTGAGTTCATTCTCAGCAATTATTTTCTTACTTCTTGTCATTTCAGAATTTAAGATAAAATTCTTAATATATGCAAACTGTAATTGAAGGAAATGTACAACTTTCATGCTTTCATGGAGCAAAGTTTACTCTCTCAATCAGAATGACTACAACAAATATAGGTCAATCCTGCATTTTTAAAGTTATCGTTTTTTGCATAAGTGTAACAAACTATTATTGATTCCCAATCAAAAAATGATGAATTGATACTATTCAAAATTTTAGCAATTAGGAATTAAAAAAAATTAATAAAACAAATTTAATTAAGCAAATTTCTTAATCTCATTTCAAAAATAATAATATAACTTACTGAATTTTGAATCATTTGCACATGTGCAGTACTAAAATTCTATACATGTTGAAAATACTAATGCGAAAAATTGAATGGTCAAATAACTTAAGCAATCTGAATCTTCCCTTGAAAATTGTTTTTTATCCATTTTACATTCTTCGATGACATCAAAAGCAAAGTGCTCTTAAACGTAATTTGTCTTAACCTATTTAATTCCATTTGTGATTTTATTACTTCCAATAAACATAGAATCAGAACATTATTATTTTAAGTTGAGACTGCAAGCAATAGCTTCAAATTCAAACAAAATATTCAACATTTTATGGTGTAATTTTATCAGTAAACTTCCATAAACATTCTCTATTCCGATGAATTCCATTCACCTTTCATATATCTTGTCTTAGAATTAAAATTTTTTCATTCAAGCAAAATTATCGAAAATATTAAATTTTGCAAGAAAATGACTACCAGCTAAAGTAAATGGAGACAATTTGTTGGTAAAATAAAAATTTTGTCAATGAAAGTAGACAGAAATTAACATCTGACTGAGTTAGAAAGCAGTAAATCAGCAAATATTCATTTATGAATGACTTTGACACTCTATACAGTAAAGAATAAAATTTAACTCAAAAGAATTTCAATCCAACAACAGTATTCAATCCATTTCTTTCCAACTAAATCATAGCTATTGTTTTCGAACCAGTTCAATTTGATTTATTTCTATCAACATTGCGGTACTTCGAACTATACGGTAATTACTGATAGGTTACGATAACTTTCCCATTTTTAGCACTTTTTCAATTTTAATTAGGCAGTAAAGTTAGAATAGAGGGAAACATTTTTCTTTTCCAATGATAATTTACTATGATGATGCTGAAAAAAAAAAACCTTCCACTTGCAAATAAAAAAGTGATTATTGCTGCTTTACTTCTGTTTCATTTCGATTGAATTTTTTTCCTCAATATTTTGTGTTTTTATTTGACTTAGTTTGGCTGAATCATAAATAAGAAATAATTATCCTAATTGATCTTTAATCAAACATTAGATAATTTCTTGGTCTTGCAGTTGTTCTAAACTAATGTTGAATTTCAACGTCTCATGTATATCGCACATTGAATTGCTTTTGTCCATCGTTCCAGAAACTTTTCTTTTCACTTGGCTCCTTTATATTACTGAAAAACAATACTTTTGGTCTCATAAATGCTCTTGCTTTATAGGCCACAGGGCCTATTTATTTTGTTATAATTAGGTAACAACCCGCTAAAAAATTTTTCATGATTCGAAATATATGCAAATTAGGAAGTGAAGAATGTTGTTCATGCTTTCCTCAAAACTCTTACTATCATAAATAATTCTTGATCAAGGCCAATTACTCTTTTTGTTTGTCTTAACTTCAAAATTCTTCATAACTTGCAAAGTTCACCTCGTCAAATCTCCATAATTATTGTTATAGTCTGATGATATTTGTGATTATTTAATTAATGAAAGTTTGTTTTAAGTACTAATTTATTGAGATTTAGATTTAAGCGAAAAGACAAATATCTTTTTTGTGAGAATTAGTCCTTGACTTTAATTTTTATTTTCTGTTTCATCAAAAGCTGCTAGTAAAATGAAAATTCTTGCAATAAGTAAAAGTAAGCAAGCGTGATAATGGATGCTTTGCATAACTTTAATGGTTTATTTGTCTATGAAAGCAAATTACAATGTTTCCAAACTAATCTCACAATGACCCACTGGCCGCAAATTGAAAAAATATGCAAGAAGCTGATATGATTATTTACTTAGTTTCATTGACTTAAATGAAGCGCTTACTTGCTTGCAATTTGCAAATACTATCGTAATAAAGTAAAATTGTAGGACAAATGTGACTATTCATAACTGAATTTTTGCCTTTTAAAAAATATTTCTATTAATCATGTTTAATTAGTTGAATTTTTTCATTTCACTTTCAAAATAAATTTTTTTTCGTTATTTTTCTTTTTAAATAGAAGAATAAAAAATTGATAAGAAGCTGCAAGAACTGGTGGAAAGACAATTTTAAATCAAAATAGATTATTCATCAACTTCTGCTGAGGTTCATTACAAAAAAGTGAAAGTAAATGATAGTATTAACTTGGATATCCCATAGATATGTCCGCATGAAAATTTAATATTTTAATCGTATTATGAATAAAATAATGGGAAATAAATTCTTAAGATACATCAAATGTTTGGTTTAATTTTTTGAACTATTTTGAGATGTTAGTGTTCTGAAGTAATTAATAATTTTATAATGTTTTAAAAAAGTACAAGTAGGTAGAGTATTAGATGAGGTTGAGCTTTGTTAAATGATTATTATATTTGCTATCAACTTGTGAGTTGCAATAATTAATTTGTCTCTAAATCCATAACTATATGCAAAGCTTGACAAAAAGTAAATCATTTGATAAAAAATGACAAAGATCATTTTAATCCGTTCTATAATTTTTTGTGTCTTCCATTTGGTTCGTTTGAAATGCTAAATTTGTAAAACATTTGGAAGATTAAATAGTGAAAGTGAATGTATGAATGTATCGCAAGCACATGAGTGATTGTTTCGTTGCATTCATTAATGAAATAATACAACGGTTGTCTTCAATCTTCCATCCATAACTAACTGCTATTAACAGATAAATTAAGCTAAGTTTAATTTCGTAAAATGGGTGGTTGCTTTGCAGAAAGTGAGAGATGGAAGGAAAGTAATTGTTTCTTAATTTAATTAACGACCTCAAGGAGAGTACATATTCTATCGTTTACTACCTTCAGCTTGAATAAGTCTATATTTATATTTGCTTGCGTGTGTTTGTGGTATTTCATACGTTTTATGTGCACACGCTTTTTTATTTTATTCAACGTTCTAGGAATGAATTTACAAGACACATAGTTTCACTCGATTAAACACCACATAGAAAACCATATGTAGGATGATTCAATAATATTGCACATCTACTTGTTTCTTCTGTTATTTTCATCGTAATTTGCTCAATATTTGCGTACTAAATATAGCTTATTGAATGTCGAAAATTACTTTAGCTCAAATAATTGTCTGATTTTTGCGAGATGTGGAATATGTGTCGCTAGTAGTTCAAAAGCTGGTTTGCATCATTTTTTTTTTCTCAAACTAAACTGATGCATGCATAACTATATCAAGATGAAAAATTAAAGCGAAACAGACAGTTATAACAGGTAAGGATCATACTCAATAGTGCAATTTCAACAAAAAATGACTACCATTAACAATAAGTTTAAGAATTTTAGATTCCTTTCGAAGCTTTTTGTTATGTCTAGTACTATCGCACCAACCAGTAAACTTGCATTTGGCATCCAAACTATTTTGGGCACTGAAACTGATAATAATATTTTTGAACCGCGGAAGCAACTTCCTGACGATAGGTATCCGAAAGAAAACTTTGCTGAGAGGGCTTCACTTCAGTCCATCGATACTTTTCCCATAATTGCGGATCATTTTCCTTTTCATGATACATCAGCTTTTAAAGTTGCTTGCTATCTTCCTCAAATTAATTACCCAAAATTTACGCATCACTCAGAGTCAGTATCAGAAGCAGAAATTCAGGATAAATTTCCGTTTAAATATTCTAATTTAGTTTCACAGTATCAACCGCTAAAGCATGGATTCCCCTCTACTTCGGTCATATCATCATGCCAAATCGGTCAAAATAATGTCTTACCAGTAAAATATAGAAAACTAAACAAAACCACTATAAGTCATTCATGCCTTCTCCTGAAAAGTTTACCACCGAATTCTAAAGAAGCTCATGTAACTAGCGACTGGCTAACTCCCTCACATGTTAATTTGGACAAATCTTCAGTTGAGAATCCATCACCTTTTCAAATAGATCCAGCATCTCTTTTGTCCATAAATATCAGTAGTATGAGGTGTAATCTGAATAAACGTAAAGAAACAATAAATTATCGAGATTGCAATGTGAAGCCACGACGTACTGGTCATCCTTATCAAAGTCGAACTCCAGCATGCCACAAAAAACCTCGGACATCCTTCACCAAAGAACAGGTTTAGTTTAGCAATTTTAATCTTTATCTTCATTTGTTTTTTGCAGTTAAGTATTTTTATATTAGTCTTTACTTGTTGATTATACTGGGAGAATTTTGCCAATTTTCATCGCAATTTTTAACAAAAAACTGCGTTTAAGGCAAAAAACGCAGTTTTCTGCCTAAATTGTGGCTCTCTTTAATCATTTTTGTATTTACGACAGGAAGTTTTTTATTGACAAAATAAAAGACATTGCCTGGAGAAAATGCATAAAGTTTTTAGGAAAATTAATGTGACAAATCTCTTTGCTAAAATTGACTGTATTTAGTGACTTATTCAGAATCACAAGTTGTTTGCTTTGAAGTGCAGTTGGCTGTTTGACTGGTAATACTAAGAGATCTTTCTATATGACGTAATTTGGTAGAAAGATTTGAAGACGTAAAAAAATTAAATAAATAGCATTAACAACATAATAGCTTTGCACAGGTTCTTCAGTAGCGGAGTAAACTGATCATTGCTAATAAAATTTGTTTGCTTTCCAGCCATTAAGGTTATTTCCTCTTGCCGTAGCATTGAAATGGCTGTTCGTCTTAAATTCTTTTCTCTGTTATCATTTATATTCAGCTTTGGCAAAAAAAAACTTACTGTCCGAATCAAAATATATTTTTTAAGATAGCATCACTTGAAACAAAATTCTTAGCGCAGAAGTATTTGGCTAGTTCTGAACGAGTAAACTTAGCAAATGAATTGGAAATGAGTGATGTGCAGGTGAAAACATGGTTTCAAAATAGGCGTACGAAATGGAGGTGAGTTGTAAGAAATAATTCAAATACACTGTGCCTAAATAAGAAACTTATATAGTGTGAAGCGACGCTATTCATAAAAATTGAAATCTAGTTGAGCTTTGTTTCTTAATTACAAAAAGTCAAAAGTATAAATTGCGTTTTGGTTAATTCATGAATTTCCTTATGTTTTTTTCAACCAATTCTTCAAGCAATTATAACATAAGTAATGCTTGGATTAATGCATCAAATTTTTCTGCAATTACTTGCAAAACTTTGTTTTTGCACTTCACTTTCAATCACAGCCTTCTTGCAAAATAAATAATTTTCTACTTAAAAGTTCAGCTTTTAATAAATTTTTGCCATCTGCGTGGCCTTCAAGAAGTAATCAAAAAAACTTTAAATAAGCATATTAATTTGTAAATGGAAAGATAGTGGAAGAATACATTTATTTATGAGCAAATATTGCAGACGACAAGAAGCAGAAGAACAAGAATACGAAGATAAGGCCAATGCTAAGATGATGTCATCTTACTCTAATTGTTTTTTTGCTAGACCTGATATTGTGCTCTGATTATTTGTTACTATAAACTAGAAAAAGCTGACCGGAGTAGATGAAATCAGTTGTCGTTTATCAAATTACTTCTCTCTATTACCATTTCTGCTTTATTCACGATAAAGGTATAGCTGAATATTTAAGCATCACGAAATTAATAGACTTACTTCTGGAAAATATCCGTCTTAGAATTTTCAACTTTCTTTCACTATTTCAACTTCACTTTTTTCAATATTTTTTATGAGCGATTTGCTCGTTCATACCTGAAATTAATCATTAAAATAAGTTCATACAAGTAAAAGTAAGCACTTTTGTGATTACTGCTGATTGACAGATTATCTGTTTTCGTACTGTAAAAAAGAATTTTTAAATATGCATTATAATCTAGCAAACATATCGTTGTGTACTTTATGTATTGCATTTTTGGCATATTTTAAAAGATAATCACTTTTACAATAAAAAATGAATCAGGCAGATCCATAAAGTTTGTAAATATTAGATTACAAAAAACTGTCAGTTTTTGTCCAGTTTATTAAGCAATTTTTTCCACTAAAATTTATCGTAAACAAAATTATATGTATATAATAACTTTTAGAAGTTCTGTAATCTAGAATTTTCCAAATATCATTTGAAAAAAAAAAACATAACGGGGAATGGCATTTTCTTACATCAAAAATTACTATGTGTAACTAGATAACTAAACGATGTATGACCAAGAATAAATTGGCTTGATAATTGCAAGGTTTGATCTAGTTTCATTCGTTTATACTTATAACGTCGATTCTGAAACCAGATCTTGACTTGAGTTGGGGTAAGATTCAATATCAATGCTAGTCGTTCTCTTTCAAATGCATTTACATATTGTTGTATTTGGAAGCGTTCTTCCAACATATTGACCTAAAATAAATTGCTTAAATTTGCCTTCCAATGTTTGCATGATCACTATTTTCAATTATTTTTTCAAAATGAGTACCAAATTTAATGAATGAAATCCAATTTTAATAAATATTAAATACTTAAAACTGCAAAACTATGCAGTTATGTAGTTAGATAATTGCATAAAAATAACTTCTGCTTTGATGTGCTTAAGAGTTTTTATGATTATATTTCTAAAGCAAATAAAAGTGACTTAAAAAATAGTTAATTTAGGGCACAGCAAACCTGCACAAGCAGATTTCAGCAATTTTTACAGCTTAAGAATGATAGCAGCATAAATTTTCGTTCTTGCACAATTACTGCTTTATAAAAGACTTAAAAGTACGAGACGAAAAGCGAAACAAAAAGAGAAAATACAGTACTAGCCTTCCCTTTGCTGACTTGTCAGAATTACCTGAAATGGAGTAAATAAAGCCCGAGGGCGTCTGCGTTTTTGTTGTGTACGGAGATGCGCTTGAGTTTTGCTAGCTTCGTCCTCCGTGGAAGGATTAACGGTGGAAGTGCGACTAATTTCTGCATTTTCCTCACCCACATCTATTAGACCAAACTTTAAAGAATAAAATTCCTTTACATCTAAATAGTTTTCAAATCAGTAATTAGAACTGAAATCAGCAGCAGCTGTATGACAAGCAAGGGTAACCTTCAAAGAAGCAGAAAACTTACTTGTTTGGTTTAGAAAAGAAAATTGTGGCGTCCGAATAGCCACCGATATTGCCTTATTATTTCGACTGTGATTTGTAACATCCATTGAAATTAACTGTTCTTTGGTAAAATTAGTATTCGTCGTTGGCAAAGAAAACGTTGCACTTCGATCTTCAAGTGATGATGTAGGTAGTACTGTATCCCTTACCATCGGCAAATTGAATGGGTAATGTAATAAAGATAACTGAGAATTGTGTGCCATAATAGTATTGCTATACAGCAGTATTTCACAGTTTTATATAAACTTATTGGCTATCTGTTCCTAAGACTTAACAATGAATCGAAGAAAGAAAACTATTCTTCCAAAGTTTTAGAATAGCAGTGTGCAAACAAATGTCGTTCTTCTGTACCAAAAATTTGATTACATTTATAATGATTCCTATGATGAGTTAGGTTCAAGAAAGGCTGGATGATTGATGAAGATCTTTAAGCACAATATGAATGAGAGCTGTCAACTGTCGTTCACTAAGAAGATTTTGGATATTAGTGTAGGTGGCAACAATTGAAATCACTGAATCCAATTAATGCTAAATGATAAGAGCTCTCTCTGCATCATTACTTCAAAAAGTTCCCACGCGGCTAATTTTTACTTTCATGTGACTTTGCATCTCTTTCATTTCTAAAGAAAGAGCACATGTAGGCATGAGGGAATATGGAAATAGACTTGGTTACTGAGGTAATTTGAATCACTGTTACGGTACTAAAGTGTATTTACATAGCTGGCCAATCATCACTGCTTAAGGAGTTTCAAGTGAAAAGCTAGAAAACTGCAGGCAAAGAGACCAGTAAGAAAGGGAATGGATTACATTACACTCTCAAATTAATGCGTTTTTGACCTGCAGCTGAATCACTTATCTCCAATCGTTATTGTATCAGTTTCCATCATTGCTTTTAAAGTCCCTGCAAGCATAATTTTATCAAATACCTACCTTTTTTCAAAACACTATACAGAAATAAAAATATTTTGCAAGAGTTGATCGATTTCCTATAACTAAATTGAGCAATCATCGATATTCATGTATTATATTCAAAATATTCTATTTTAAACAAATCAAAAAGTACCCTGTTCATGTATCCAAATATATGTCACTCGTTTATGATTGATAAAGACTTTTAGGTATGAAATTCTTACAATTTCCATGTTTCTGAATTTGTAATAGAGAGTTGAAAAAAGCTTTTGTATGTAATTCTTTGTATTCAACTTGTTAAATAGTTTTTGTATAAAATGCAAATTTTTCTTAGTGCATTTTGAATATGTATTTTTCACAACTAAAATACTTTTTGTCTACTAATTTTTAAATTTATATTAGTTAAGTCTGTACAATACTTTTCCTAACAGTTAGTTATTAAGGGGTTCTATACCTTTACTAAATATCAGATATATTTCTGTGTCACAGTTTTCAATAAAATTATACGTAATTAGCTTCAATAAACGAATTAGAATTTGTTGAAATCATGTGCAACAAAACAATCTTGTTTTAATAACGAGAATTTTTGGGCGAGAATCTGAAAGAAAACGAAATATCAAAAAATTTCTATTCGAATTGCTTAACCATGAAATAAAGCAAATACCTTGTCTGCAATAAAATGGCTGGAACTATGTTACACAGACTGAATCTATGAGGATTCTTTCAGTAATGTTAGTCTTAAATCTGCGTGAAACAAACCCTTGAAAAATTATCGGTATGAGTCTTCAGGCGGGTAAGTGATCTAGATCAAGTCATTCTTATTATTTTAATGAAAACTTCGAAAAATTGCTGAGAACTTGCAGTGATAAATAAACAAAAGAAAAGATGGAGCACTGAATCGAGTTACAGATTATAAAACTCCCAGTGACAGTAGAATTTAGTTACAAACAGCTATTACACATTTAAATAACCTGCATACAAATGTTAACGTAAATCAGACAGTGATCAGAGATCAAATTTCCTGCAGTATCAACTTTTATCTATTTAAACGAAGGGATAAAGCTTAAAGTACATCATTGCAAAAGAGTTCTTAGTTTCCATCTCAGAATATTTCTCCCAGATATAGAAAACTAGCTAAAAGTAGCTTCTCAACCATTTGATAAACATATTTCTAGCGTATAGAAAGCCAAAGTGACACTAATTCCAAAAAAATGTTTGCAATGTATATGGCTCTTTTCAGGGATTGAAAAGTTTTTCGTCATAAATCAGACTGATACATTATGCTTGACGGTAAAATAGATGGTTAGTGACCATCTGATCTACGATAAAAAACTCACCATATCACCATTATATGCACAATATCCAGCTCCCGTTTTCTGTGCCCCAAAAATATGAAACATTTGAAAATTTTAAAACGAGGTCCATTTCAAAGAACTGTTTAAACAACTGCGAAGCATAGAGATTTTCCGTGATGTTTCCAACTTTACTTATTTGTGACTTTATTCGTTTACACTCATAAGGAATGATAATAGTAATAATAACATAATTATTATTCCTAACAATAATAGTGAGACAAAGAAAAAATAGAGCTTAAGAAACCGAACAACAACAGAAGTCAACAAAATATATATGAAGCTTGAAAAGAAAAATGTCTCAAAGTAAATCAATCACCTTTTTTTATACAAACAAGGTTTCAGCTTCAATCCAATTGGTCGCTTCTGCACTACTTTACCAGTTTTGACAAACTCCAAAATGATAAAATAGCCATCATCTTTACATAACTGAAAAACTTTCCAAGTTTGAAAATGATCAAGCGTGTCGGTATTTGAAACAAGTAACAGAACGAGATGTTATCATGTCTTCTGATCAAAAGAATGTCTCTTGCAAAATGCAAGTATAATCTTCCTTTGGAAAAAAAACTTAACCTAACCTTTCCAGTATTCCTAAATCCCATTTTCGTAATAGCATGTATAAATTGTTTTACGCTTGTGAATCGGCTTTTTACTTCCGCTATCTTCAAGAAACCTCTAAATAATAAGAGCAGTCAAATTCCAGGAAATTTCGGATTAAGGTCAATGTCCTTTAAAATGAGCCGTTGAAAATAAGGCTACAAACCCTTTTTTGAGTAGTCTGTTAGCCTCTCGTAAATATTCGTTCAAATTCGTTCCCATTAATGAGAGACAGAAAACAACAATATCCACTGAACCGTTTTGCAATGGAACCTGCATCAGAATGATTACACATAAATAAAATAGAGGAAAAATACAATGTACTATATGAAGTGCAATTTTGCTGAAATAGATATAAATTACTAAATTTAGAAAATTGCACTTGCCAAAGTTATTTCATACAATGCTGGGATTACTGAAAATAATTTAAAGGGAACAGTTACATAAAGTGAGTTGTTCAATACAAAAATCATGAACAGTAGAGAGAAATTAAATGCAGCTATATAAGTCATGAGAAGACTAGTAATGAATAACTTGAACCAAAAAAATTTTTCAATTTAAAAAAAAGACACTTTAGACATGTCGCATGCTGTAACATAATCATTGACAGCAACTAAATCAAACGAATGCACAGTTGCTATGTGGGAAAGCTTTTCAGCAATTTTCGCAACTCCACAACCCATATCAGCAATCACTAAATTTTGACGCTTTAATGTTCGTATCCACTGAATTATACCATAGAGTGGATTATAAGGCCATTTTGATGACTATAAATGCAACAAATGAGGTTTAATTTATCAGAAGCAACATTTTTACATCAGATGCAAATATGAAACATGGCCTACTGGCATTTCATTGTAACATTTGCAACATAAACTCTTTATCAGTAAAGACTTATTAAGCTCAATTAACGTATGAAATTTTGAATGTACATAGCGATTAAAGATATCATAATTGAAGTCGTAAATTAAAATTCTCAATGCAGGATCAAAATATTTTAACAACTACTAACTGCATTTCAATTAACTTAGTGTCACGATTCTAAATTTATTATCCAAACCTGATTGTAATATCCTCTGTGATATATTTCGAAAGCATGCGGATCTTTCTGAAACAATTCCATAGCTTCCGCGCCACTGATGGAATATAACTGCTCATTGATGTACCGGAATAAGGAAGAATTAAGTTTCGCCATACCATTGGTTTCCTGCCCAATTACTGAGAAAGTTGCATTCGAACTACTGCAAAGACTTGATTTACTTTTTTTTTTCTTCTTCTGATGTTGCTTTGATTGAATTTCATCTCCAGTTGCAATAGTACTCTGAGCTGAAACCAATACAAGTGTCAAAAGTATTATTTAAATAAGCAAATAAATTGAAAACAGACTATTCACATATCTATAAATTAACTTTCTTAAGACCTTAACAAAACTTTAATAGTTGATAAATTTACATTCCTTTTCTCGTTGCTTTCTTCTAGCTTCTTTAGCTGCCTCTCTCCGAACTTTATTTCGCCAAGGACGACGGTTTTTCGGCTGAAACAACAAAATCTTTCAAACGAATAAAATATCTGTATAAGGCTACAACAGTTGACATGAAACGACACCTTTTAAAAGCTATATTGCAAAAAAAAACTGTCTCTATTTCATATGATCAGCAGCGTTTGCCGTTAGTAAAAGCTGTCACACCATTATGGATCACAAAATACTAACAAATTTCAGTGTTAAAGGTCCCGTTCCTTCACTGCTGCCAGTATTCATCTGCTTTAAAGGTATAAAATTGTCATCACACCCAAATTTTCGCTTCTGATCCATACAAATCACAAAAATAACCAACAATAAGTTGCTTGATAAACGAGGCCTGTACTAATTAAATAGTGAGAACAGCCTGCACAGGAATACAGCTAAAATTTTCCCGCAACTAAATATAACAACCGGTTGTACAGTCTTCAACGAAGGCTGTTACTAAATTTTGCCATCATCAAATTGTCTCTGAAAATTTGTCATATGAAATTAAGAATTTGGACACTTCAGTGAAATATCACGGATAAATCACTTCTATCAATATCTTTTAGAAGTAAGGAGCTAGCCAATTACTTGCCAGTTTAATTTTTAAACACACAACAAATAAAACAGTTCAGACATGATAATCAAACCCATAGAAGTTCAACAAACCAGCCCAGTTCAATGACTAGCTTATTCACAAAAATATCAGATTTACAATTCGCGAAAGTAGAGGTAAAAATAAAGCAAGTAACAATACATCCGATTCCTATTCTTGTAGAAAGAAAAACCTCACCTATCACGAAAAATAATATCGGATTATTACATGCTTAACACTAAAACAGTTCTCGGCCTTTGTACATTCTTCAATTCTGATTCTCGACGTAACATATATCACTGCTGTTAACAGAACTATTGCTTTTAAAGTGAGAAACTTATCTTCTCAGAAATGTATGTGAAAAGCTTTCAAAAATTTAAAAGAATCCTTTATAATAGGTATGTGCCCTTCCAATACTCCAAAAATCACAACTAAGAAGTCAGTGTAGTCATAAACTAAAATCCCTCCTACACATCGACCCACAGTTTATTATAAAAACGAAATTTTTGCATTTCTCACAACTAATTCCTCCGATCTTCTTTGCCATGAAGAGACGTAAATGCTTTTGTTACCCTTACTAAGTGGAATCACGGTAAAATTGTAGAAAGAAAGGCGAAGTAGACAAAAAAGCCATCACCATAATTCTATTTTCAATATAATGAAAGAAAACTTTCAGTCTACTTATTATGGAAAACTTAATCATTAACTTGCAGTCTGAAAAAAAATGCTCTCGAGTTAAGCTCTAACTTACTCTACCGAAGAAAATTCAACAAAAATAATTTTGAAAAATTCTTATAAACCGTGCATTGAAAAATGCTAAATAAAAATGTTTCTTTTATTCTAGTAAGTACCATTAAGAATAGCAAGAACGCATTTTAGTCCCGCAATAGGATTTTTGCTGTCCTTAATTAACAGACTATGCTCCTTACAAAAAGAGATGAAACCTTACAATTATTACATGGTTTCACAAAACAACATCCCATGCATTATTGCTATACAATAAAATATATTCTAGAACAATATTACCTGTTTTCGGAAAACTCATGACTGAAAATCAACACTCGCCATGTTCGCAACCTTCTTATTTGTTTGAACTTTTTTGTTTATGTCTACATTGTGAATTTTCAAAACCAATCAAGTCAGAAAAATCCTGCTTAATCTTACAACACCTTCCTCAACTTTCGTATTACTGAACTAATATTTACATAAATAGCAGTTACATCACAACTGTTTTTCAATTCATACAATAAACGAAGCAAACAAGCGAAAGGGCAGTGTTTGAGGCCAATATGGCAGCCTACGAACAATCATTATATCATATTTAATTCTTAAAAAACCTGCTTTCGTCCTCCCTTTTTACTGGCAGTGCGTTAACTTGGTACAAATTGCACAGAACTGATAATAAATTTGTGCGAAAACTGCACAACATTTATAATGATCTGTGCCACAAATTAAACTTTTCTGCCACACCATAAATTATGCACATAGTAGTAAAACAAGACGAATTCGTAATACATGAAAATACCAAAAAAGAATAACGGTCAGTTTTACTTCTGTTACTTTAGTTACTTTTGTATGCTTGTCGTCATCATCAAAAGCACATGGCGAAAATTTAGTTCATGAAAATGATTGAATATAGCTGTTTTCCAAATATCCATGAAACTGTTGATAATCACGAATATTGTACAATGAAACTCTGAAAAATGATTCTGTAGAACACTTTAAAATTGTTCTACTATCTACATGAGTATAGTACAGGCAACAGCTATGAAATATGGTCAAATGTAATTGTTCAACTATCTAGCACATAAAAAATATACAATTCATGACAGCTTAACTGTTATTGTTGACCTGGCATATTATCATGCGATTTTTACGAAAATGAAAAATATGGAAATTACACGAAGTTAAGTTTACTTACAGCATTGTGAGCAGTGCTATCACACGCAAATCTTTACGCTATCACACGCAAATCTTTACTACTGATAGACGGAGAGGAAAAATGAGCCTTTTCAACAAATATCTTCAAACTGAGTCCAACAGAGTGCAAATGAAACTGACTAAAATACAAAATATCACAACATTAAATTTCTGGCCTAGGAATATCATACAGTCTAATTACATAAAATCCGCCACATATAGAAAACTTCTGTCGCTCACCCATTCTCCTCGTTACTCTCATAACTCTGTCCCACTTTCCCCTTCCATCTATCTTCTTTTGGGTAGTAGCTAATTTTGAGTAAGCAAACGCAAGCACCACACTTTTTTCGGATCGCGAAATGAAAATGATATCTCAAAAATATCTCTCTAAATTTCAACATTTTCTGGTAAAATTCAAAAAAGCTACAGCGTTATCATTTGTATTAGACGAATTGTATAATTTGTATTAAGATAGTTAAAGGAGATACTGAAGCAAAGAATTTATAATTGAAAGTCGTGTTTAAGGAAAATTTTGACAGATAAATGTTTGAATGAAAAGAGTGCTTCAAGCAGTTAATAGATAGAATTAGAATTTTAATTTTTCATTCTATGAATGAAAGTATTTATGTGTGTCTGCATATTTTTTCGCTCAAAAGATACCAGAAATTATGTCGCAGAAGAAAGATTTATTAGTCTGTCTTAAATGAAATTAATGTTTATTGAAAGGCTTGAACTTACTAAATGATAAAAATCTGTTCTCATTCTCATTATTTTATTATGGAATGCTCGGCAAAAGCAGGAAACTTCATTTAATTACTTTTTTCTTCTTTTATTTGCATATAGAAGTGAAGAAGTATTTGTAGCTAACGATTGTTAATTGGAGTTACTTTCAATTTCACAAAAGAGTTGGCAGTAAAAATAGTTGTTTAATGCAGGGCAAAGCATTAAAACACTCTTTTCAAATGCAGAACTCATTTTTTTGGATAGAAATTAAACGAATAACGATAAGTTTCCAGTTGAAGGATTTTGGGATTCTGAGGATGAGTGAGGACATCAAAGCGTCTATCATCTTTTAGATAATTTGTGATATTTGAGATCTCATTACAATTAGGGTCATGAGAAGAAGTCATCATGAAATAACACATTGATGACAATAATTGAGTTCGTCTATATACGAATACGAAACACAAGGAGAGCTCGAATTTGATTCGATATGACATCTCAGAGAATGAATCCATCAACTTAATGAGCAACATATCGTTGCTTCAAATAAATACTCGCGATAATAAGCCAAAAACAAAATTTTTATATCGCATGCAGTCAATTAATTTTAAGTTAGCTTTAAAATGTGTAATATCTAAATTACTTTTCAAATATAGATAGCACTTGAAGTTGACAGTTTTTAGTTTAAAATCATTTTGATTCAAAAAATACGAAAATGAATGGAATAGGAAAGGTAGGAATTCAGAATAAACATGAATTAGAAGATAATTAAACTAATTGGTTGCAATCTAACGCGTGTCAAAACTATCATGCAAAATTTTGTAAGTAATAAACGTAAAGGCTTGCTTAGACTGCATCAAGCTATAAATTTCTATTCATAAAAAGGAAAAGAATATGTGATTACCAATATAAATTTGCAGACATTACTGCAATTCATTGTAAGTGATGTAAAATGATCATAGCTGTGATAAATAGCTGCTTTCATTGATTATCAGTTCTATATGGTTGTACTTTTTGTCAAATTTTCGCTGGTAATGCAAGAATGAAGGAGTGGCTTTTGCGAGGAAATGAGAGATGATTAACTAAGAGCTTGTAAATGCAAAGCTCAACTTAATTACTCTTTAATGTGTTAAATTAACAAGGCCGAATTGTGTAATTGATTTGAGCATGTTCGCTGGTGTACTGAAGCGACGTGTGTCGTGAGTGCATGCGGTTGTGGAGTCAAATCCCTTCTGCGTCTCATCTTCTCCAAATCGTTACCTCATCACCATCATCATCATCTTCATCTGCTCATTTTTCTATTTTCATTACTACTCACTAGTTATATCATACGGTATATCAAGAATGAATATCTTCTAAAAGGAAACAAGCATCTTTCTATCAATGCTGTCCTACCTTTCCATCTAAAGTAGTAATTCTTTCTTATTTCTAATGGTTTTTTTTGTGAGATTTCTTACTTGGAGATAATAAGAAAATTCCATAAAAACTTGACCATTTTCAAAATTGATTGATATACAAAGAGCTTTAATAATTCTATTTTGTTTTAAAAGATGAAAATTGTTTGAAGTTGTATACGAATAAAGAAAATTGCAAAGTGCTTTTGAAATAAAATAAATAGATTTGATTAGTAGTGGAAGGGTGTATTAGAAAAGAAAATGGAAGTTACAAAACTGAGTTAGAGTAAGTGGCGTGATATATAGTAGGTAGCCCGAGGCATTTGACTAATTGTTTTGAGGTTCACCTATTTAATTTAAGTCAAAAAGTTTTAGTATTGCTCTAATTTCTTTTTGCTACTCTCTCTTCAAAATTTCTCACGCTCCCAAAATAAGTAAGTGTTCGTTTCTAATTCAAAAACCTATTTTCCATAAGAAAAAACAGCAATTCTTTGCACGAGCTATTTGATTGATGAAGACATTAAGAGTAGTACTCACTTGCGCCATTACTAGCACTTAAATACCATTTTAAGTTGGTCTTAAATAAACGATTGATTCAATGTGTTAATGAACCATCTTAAAAAATATTCTACGTTTTTTCACTCTACTATCCATCTTTTTGCAACAGTAAGTGAGATCAATCAATTCTTTTATTGTTATTGGCTGTGATCTATAACAATGTCATACTTAACATTTCACTGTTACGACTATCACCTCAGCTAAGTCCGGACTCATCACTTTGTTTCTGTTGTCATTTCATACCTGACTAGCTAATTTATGATTTAGACCTGTTTTGGCTTCATTATGAAAAAAATAAAAAAAGATCAGAAATAGCTCATCCTTTATCAAATTGACATTTTCAAATATTCAAATCTTTGCCTAACAATATCTAACCAAACAGCCAAAAATGGCTTTTACTTACATCCATTACTATAAGTGATGTTTTGATCTTCAATGTGATTTGTGACTTAATGCCTTTTATTTTGCAGTAATAAAGTACATTACTAACAATCATTTTCATTCAGAATCTTTTGAGCTACATACTTGTCGTAATGCAAATTATTAATGATCAATTTCAAATTTATAAGGTATGTCAAATATATTTCTTAAACCACTTGAGAAAAATGAAATTATGATGCAAATCTATTCTTCACTTGTCATTTATTTTATTTCAAAATCATTGATGAAATAAAAATTTAAACTTCTAGCTTTAAGTAATAATGAGTTTTATGTATATTTATTTTGTAATATTTAAAGTGTAATGTTTACGTCAGTAAGCTCACACACAATATCATTTTCTCAGTGTCTCATTTTTATGAATATAGAAGATATAACATGGATCATTTTTATGATCAGAGGAAATTTGTTTGTTGACGCACTTTGTAAATGATTATACAAACAAACCTGTAATAATTGAGACTCATTGTTGATTTAATCTACCAATTTGTTCTAGACAATTTTTTCATTCATCAATGCAGTGCTTTTATTCATACAACAACTAAAATTAAAATGCAATTTTCAGAGAAAGTGATAGAACACTTTTTTCTTTCAGCAACACTTTTTTGCTCACATAATTGCAGTCATTTCGTTTAATATTTATTTTACTTATTTATTTTTTCGCGCCATTTATTGCACCAATGAAAATTTTACAGTAAATTTAAACTTGAAATAGCTTCAATGTATTCTCTTTAGTATTTGTTTGAACAGACTTCATAAGTGTATAAAAGAATTTGATAAAAATCTTTGCGAAAAATTAAGCCATTGTGCCATATTTTGAAAATCTTGTGCAAATTATATTTTGAAACTTGGAAAGCCAAGTACAATATTTTAAAATCTATATTAAAG